CCAGCTCGCTTCCATGCACGGCCCCGGCGCCGCGGCCGCGGGCGATGCCCCTTCCCCCGTGGGGACCCCCCCGGTCCCGGTCCCGGCCCGCGGGCCCCGCTCCGCGCTCGCTTTGCTCCGCCGGTGCCCACGCCACGGGCCGTGCGCCGCCCCCCCCCCCCCAAAGGGATGCTCTCTCTCCCCGCCCCCGGCCCCCCAAATCTCTCTCCGGGGGATGGGGGGGGGTACGGCAGGGAGGGGAGGGCAGGGGTCCCCCCTCGTGGGTCACCCCCTGTCCCTCCCGGCGTGGTGAGACACTGCTGGGTGAAGCCACGGGGAGGAGGCACCCACGGGGATTTGGGGGGTCTTTTGTCCACCTCCGGATATTTGGGGAGCCTTTTGCCCACCCTCGGCACCCCACGGGGATTTGGGGGTCTTTTGCCCACCCCCGGCACTCCCCAGGGTTTTCAGGGTCTTTTGCCCACCTCCGGCACCCCCCGGGGTTTTGGGGGGTCTTTTGCCCACCCCAGGCTCAGATCAGCACCCCCTGCCTTGCCCTGCATCCATCCCCTTTTTGGGGGGCTGAGCATCACCCCCCCATCCCCCCGGGGTTCTGACCCACCACCTTCATGGGGTGGGCAGGGGTGGCTGTGCCTAGGGGCAGCGCCCCCAGCCCCGTTCTTCGCCGTGCCTCAGTTTCCCCGTTGTTGTGACGGAGAAATTGGGAACAAGGCTGGTGAATCCCACAGCAGCCACCAAGCAGCTCCCAAATAAATCAGAGTCACCCTCAGCACTCAGACACCCCCGTGGGGACATGTGCCACCTCCCTGTGCCCACCACCGGGGTGCCACACGCCCGCTGTGCCCCTGCCAAGAGAACCTGGCTGGGGGGGACAGGTGGGCACAGGGCGGGGAGGGACCCCCAAAATCCCCGAGGCTGGGCAGGGAGGGGAGCCCTTGGCTGTGCCCAGATAAGGCCGGGGACGTTATCGGGACACCCAGACCCAGCACCACCCCTCTGTCCCCTGGGGGTGCCACCAGGTCCCCAATGTGTGCCATGAGCCCCCGGGCTGGATGGCACAGCGGGGACAGCTCCGGTGTCACCTCGCTGTGGGGGGACCCTGTGGGTGTCCCCAGGGACCAGGGCTGGGATGGGAATGTGTGTGTGCACAGGTGTGTGTGTATGTGTGTGTGTGTGTATGTGTGCAAGGCTCACCCACTTCGCCCTGGGACTGGAATTGGGATTTTGGGCCTGAGATCCTTTTAGGAAAGCTGTAAATGTAGAGAAACACGTGTGTGTGCGCACACATCCACAGGTGTGAGCACAGGTGTGCACATGCACAGAGGGACATGGGCCCCTCACACACACACAAGTGTGCCCATGGGTGGGCACTAACACAGGTGTGTGTGTGTGTGTGCACAGGTGTGCGCATGTGTGTGTATGTGTGTGCAAGGCTCACCCACCTTGTCCTAGGATTGGGATTTTGGGCCTGAGATCCTTTTAGGAAAGCTGTAAATGTAGAGGCACACACGTGTGTGTGTGTGTGTGTGTGTGTGTGTGTGTGTGTGTGTGTGTGTGCAAGGCTCACCCACCTTGTCCTGGGATTGGGATTTTGGGGCTGAGATCCTTTTAGGAAGGCTGTACATGTAGAGACACACACGTTTGTGTGCACACACGTCCACAGGTGTGAGCACAGTTGTGCACACGCACAGGGCCACGGGTCCCTCACACACAGGTGTGCCCATGGGTGCCCTCACCCCTGCCCTCCTCCAAAGCATGCCCCCCTCTCCAGGGCCCCCCAATCCCACGGCACACAGGGACACCCCATCCCGTGTCCCCCCTGCTCCTCCTCCCTGGGGAGCCTCCCCAGGAACCCCCTTTTTTTTTTTTTTTTTTTTTTTTTTTAACGAGAACACCCCAACCCCGCGGGAAGGGAGGGGGGACACTGGGGGATCCCGGGAATTCCCTGCGGGGGAACCCCGAGGTAAACAAGACTGGGGGGGGCAGCGGGAGCAGCTCGGGGATGCCGGGCTGGGCGAGGGACGGGCAGGAGGACAGCGGGAGCAGGCGGGGCTGAACCGGGGCGCAGCTTTTGCAGATGTTGCACCCCGATAACCTTGTTTTTCCGGGGGGCCCGGGGGGGGCCGGCTGAGCCCGAGGGGGGCGAGATTAGGGAGGTGAGCGTGACTCAGGCATCGGCGCTCACAGCCCGGGCACGGCACAGAGAGCGCGGCAGGGCCGGCGGAGGCACCCAGGGGTAGGTGCGGGGTCACCTCGGGGTGTCCCCGGGGCTGCCGGGGGGGTATCTGGGGCTGGGGGGGCACCCTGGGCTGCCCCGGGGGGTGTTGGGGTGGGAGGTGATGCGGGATGGGGGATTTGGGCTCCAATGGGGTCCCAGCAGTGCGGTGTGGATGGCCCGGGATGCGCGGGTGCCGTGCTGAGCCGGGCCGGGCACTTTGCGGGATGAGAGATCCCAAATACGCTGCCAGGGATGGTCCGGGATGTATGGACTCCATCGGGAGCCCCGGGGCTGACCCGCGGAGGGAAGGAGCAGTCCCAGGCTGCGAGGATGGTTTGGGATGCGCTGGCTCCAGACGGAGCCCAGCCAGGAGGCAGGAGGGGTCCCGGCCGTGCCGCAGGGATGCTGAGGGACGTCAGAGCTCCACGGAGCCGCGGGAAGGATCCCGGTGGCCGTGCGGGGATGGCGGGGGGTGTGCGGGCTCCGTGCTGAGCCCTGCGGGGCGTTTGGGGCGGGAGGGGCGAGCCCAGCCCTGAGCCTGGCAGGGGATGGATGGATGGACCCCATGGGGCTGTACCCAATGTAGGGGGCCCCCATAGGGCTGTACCCACTGAGGGTGACCCCATAGGGCTGTACCCACTGAGGGGGACCCCATGGGGCTGTACCCACTTAGGGGGACCCCATGGGGCTGTACCCACTGAGAGGGACCCTATAGGGCTGTACCCACTTAGGGGGACCCCAGCCGTGCCCTGGCTGCCAGGGGATGTACGGACCCCACGGGGACGGCGCTGTCGGTGCGGTGTGGGGCTGAGGGCTCCGTCCCGCACACACCGTGCGGGACAGGAGCCTCGCACCGAGCTCCGTCCTGCCGTGCCCGGGGCTCTGCGGGGCCGGGATGCGTTCGGCGGCTCCCGGTGACCTCGCTGCCGGTGCCGCAGCCCCCGCGGGTCCCGGTGACCTCGCTGCCGGTGCCGCAGCCCCCGCCGGTCCCCGATGACCTCGCTGCCGGTGCCGCAGCCCCCGCGGGTCCCGGTCCCGCAGCCCGGCCCGGGCGCGGTGGGGCAGAGCGGGTGGAGCGGGGCAGGGGCCGACGCCCGGTGTCGGGCGTTATCAGCGGGGCGCAGCCCGGGGCACCGGGCTGATGCAAGAGCCGCCGGAGGGCTGGGGGGGCCGGGGGGGCCCGGGGCAGGCCGGGCTGGGGGCCGGGGGCCGCCGGTGCCGGGGCCAGGCGGGGCAGGAAGGAGACGGCCGAGTCAGAGGCTCGCCGTCCATCCCGTGGCCCCGCCGCGGCTCCCGCGCCCCGCCGGGGATCCCGCGCGGCCCCAGCGGGGATCCCGTGGCCCCCGCGGGGTGTCCGGGACCCCAGCGCGGCTCCCCCAGCCCCGGCCGGGAGGGAGCTCCTGCATCACCCTGGTGAGATCGCGGGGGGCTGGATCCCCCCAAAGCCGCCCATTGCCCTGACCTTGCCCCCGAGCCCCCAGCGGGGTCACCGGGCCGGGGGCGCGGGGGGAGGCCGGAGCCCCTCGGGCCCCCCAGGCCGGGGGGGTCCCCAGGGGGCGGCTGGAATTGCGGCTTTGGGGGTCCCGGACCCCTCCTCAGAGACTCGGGGCGGGGGCGGGCGGGGGGCAGCAATGAGGGGGTTACGGGGGGGGTCCGGAGCCCCCCGGGTCCCTCCGGGGCTGCCCCTCCTGAGGGGGGCGGGGGGGCGCAGTGCGGGCAGGGCGCCCCCTGGCGGTTGTGCCGCGGAACAGCCCCGGGGCAGCTGCGGGGGGGCAGGGGACACACAGGGGACACCGGGGACACGCAGGGGTCACAGGGGTCACAGGGGTCACTCAGGGGATACAGGGGACACAGGGGAGACACAGGAGACACAGGGGTCGCAGGGGACACACAGAGGACACAGGGAACATGCAGGGGACACGCAGGGGACACAGGGACACAGGAGACACGCAGGGGACACGTAGGGGTCACAGGGACACAGGAGACATAGGGGACACACGGGACACAGGGGACACAGAGGGGACACAGAGGACACAGAGGACACAGGGGACACAGGGGACACAGGGGGTGCGGGCACTGCGTGCTGCAGGGATCTGGGGGCTGATGGAAGGGCGGCAGAGGGGCCTCCCCAGCTGAGCACCCTGGGCGGGTTTGGGGTGCTCACCCCGTCCGGGTTTGAGGTGTCCTGTGAGTCCAGCTGTGCCTCAGTTTCCCCCCTTCTCACCCCCACCCTGCCAGGGGCTGGGGCTGTGTGTGGGGGATCAGGGCACTGCGTGTGAGACCCCAACCCCTGCGTGTGGGACTACACAGGACCCTCATACAGCTGCAAGGGGCTGCAGGGGGCTGTGTAGGACCCCAGACATGTCCGTGGGTCTATACAGGACCCCCACCCACGCACGAGAGGGTGGTGTGGGGTCGCAGTCCCCGAGCATGGGTCCATAGGGGACCCGGCCCCGGCTGTGACCCCAGCGCAGGGCACGGCGTGCGTGGGCACGGGTGGCTCAGGGCAGCAGGCCACGTCCCTGGTGGGAAGCTCTGCCGCGCCCTGACGTCCGTTCCCATCCCGTGTGGCGGCAGGGCAGGGCATGACCTCCCTGGGGACCCCCGAGCCCGGGCCCTCCCAGCCCGTGGGGAGCGGGTTGGGCCGGCAGGGGCTGCGGGAACGGCCACGGGGACAAACGGCCCTTGGTACAAACGCCGCCATCCCGGGGGCACCGAGCGATGCCCTGCCTGCTCTCTGCTAACTTGTTCTCTCTCGTTTCCCCGCGCCCGCCCCGCAGAGCGCCGGGTTATGGTGGCACCGGGCTGAGCGCCGGGACGCGCCGAGGCGGCAGCGGGGGCCGAGCCCGGAGCCATGGAGGGGCCTGGCCAGGTAGGGACCCCCGGCCCCCGCCCCGGCTCCGCGCTGCGCCCCGGCACGGCCCGGCACGGCCTCGGCGTGCCCCAGCCTGCTGACCCTGTCTGTGTCCCGCAGGAGGCCTACGAGGAGGGGATGAGGAGGAGCCTGGACCCCGAAGGCTACGAGGACCCCGGGCTAAAGAGCTCCCACCTGTCGCTGGGCGAGATGAGCAGTGAGTGGCTCTGGGGTGCTGGGGACACCACGAGGCTGGCATTGCATGGGCACCAGTGTCACAGGGTGCCAGCGCTGCAGGGTGTGGCAGGGCACGGGTACCGGTGCGGCAGAGGTGACAGCGTTGCATGTGTGACAGTGGCATAACACGGGTGACAGCTTTGCAGGCGTGATGGCACCACAGGAACACTGGCACCAGCTGGGTGCCAGCGTTGCAGGGCCACCAGTGGCTCAAGGTCAGGTGTTGCGTGGGCAGAATTTTGTGGGTGCCACTGTGCAGGGACACCAGCATGGCTCAGGGGTGTTGCATGGGCACCAGCAGTGCATGGGCACAGCTGTTTCATGGCTGCCAGCTTCTCATGGGCACACATGGCACATTGGTACTGCATTGCATGGGCACCAGCATTGCATGGGCCTAGGTGTTTCATGGCTGCCAGCTTCTGGTGGGCACACATGGCACACCAGCACAGCGCTGCATGGGTGCCAGCATGGCGCAGGCTCGTTGCATGGGTGGCACAGATGAGTTGCATGAGCACACAGGTCTTGCATGGATGCGTTCCCCGGGTGCCAGCGTGGCAGTGGCAGCGGGGACAGGCAGGGACACCCCCTCAGGGCAGCGAGTCCCTCTGAGGTGCCACCTCCACCTCCAGCTGCCCGGAGCAGGGCTGAGCTTGGGGACACCCGAGCTCCTTGAGCCCCCGGGAGGGAGGCGAGGGCAGCGTGGGCACTGGTGCCGCACAGCACCCCCTGCCCAGGCACGGCTGTTTCGGAGCTGCCACCCCGAGGGGGTGTTTGTCACCGTGGGGTGGCACAGACGGGGTAACGCTGCCCCCTGTTCCGCGCAGGGGCCGGCGCTGGCATCGGGTCCCCGCTGCAGGCGTGGAGGGCCAGGGCCGAGGAGATGAATCCCCTGCGGTGAGTGCCCAGGTCGGGGCTGGCACCCGGGGCAGGCTGGGGGCACCCGCGGTGCCCGCGCTGAAGCCCCGTGCCCGCGCCGTGTGTTTTGCAGCCAGTATCTGCCCGGCCGCCGGGGATTTTATGACCTGGACGGGAAGCGGCGCTCGGCCGGGGCCCCCCCGGGCCACCCCAGCCGTGGCGACGGGCAGCGTGAGTGACCGCGGGGGCCCCGGGGGACAAAGCCCGGCCCCGGCGTCCCCCCCACCCCGAGCTGCCCACCCCCGTGTCCCCCCATCCCGCGTGGGGACCGTCACCCACCCGGGCGTCAGGGCGCGCCGCGGGGTGACCGCTGCCACTTGCCCGTAATCGCCCACTGATTGAGGATAAATAAACTCTTTGTTTGGGGTGAGGACAAGAACCACTCGGGGCTGAACGCCGGCTGGCGCCGGGCGGCTCGGTGGCGGTGGCGGCGGGCAGGGACGGGGACGCGCTCGTGCCCGCGTGCCAGGGCCAGCGCCGTCGGGGACGCGGTGCCAGGGACGCGCCCCGTGCCCGCTCCCGAGGGCGCAGCATCCTTGCCCCGGCAGAGCGGGATGCGGCTCCCGCAGCATCGCCCCGCGGGGCGGGTGACACGGCCGGGGACGGCCAGGGGACCGCGGTGGTCCCCGCCGGGGGTGGAGGGACGCGGGGTGAGCCTGTCCCCGCCGTGGGGTGACAGCGGGCGGGCGGGAGCCGCGCTGGTGTTTACTGTCAGCAAAGGAAGTGCTGCGGGATTTACGGTGCGCACGGGGATCGGTGCCCGCGTTATAGGGACGGAGCTGCGGGGACATGGGGAGCGCAGGGGGGGCCGCAGGTAGGCAGGGGACGGGGATGGGGACACGGCGGGGGTCAGGCTGGCCGGGGATGCGCTGTCCCCGTGTCCCCATCCCGGTGCTGGTGCTGGGGCTGTGCCATGAGCCCCGTCCTCACCCCGGCTCCAGGGATGTCCCCAGGCTGTCACCCTGCCCCAGGGTGGATGTGAGGGACCGAGGTGGGCACCGGCAGGGCGAGAGATGGCAGAGTGGCACATCCAGCAAACTCCAGCTGGGTCTGGGGTGGGACAACACGGGGGGCACATCCACAGCGCCCAGCAGGGCTGGGGTGGGGATGATGGACAAGGGGACACGTCCAGGTGACCCCAAAAGGGGCTGGGATGGGTGTGGTGATAGAGGCACCTCAAGCAGGGGGTTTGGGCTGGGGCTGACGCCTTGGTGGCTCCACTTGCAGCTGTGTCGGTGACCGATGTGGACCTGGAGGCAGCAGGGAGCAGGAGGCTCCTGTCCCAGCCGGACAGCCATGAGGTGGGTGCTGCCCCAGGGACCCCCATTGCCTCCCCATTCTGGGGCTGGGTGGGCTGTGGTGACCTTGGGACCAAGCTCACAGGGCACTGAGGGGGATGCTGAGTGTCCCGGGGGTCCCAGTGTGACCAGGACACGCTGACCCCTCCATCTCTGCCTGCAGGGATATGTGGAGCTGCACGAGCTGGTCCTGGACAATGCAAAGGACTTGTGCTGGATGGAGGCCGGCCACTGGCTCAGGCTGGAGGAGGATTTCCAGGAGTCCGGGGACTGGAGCCAGCCCCATCTGTCCTTCCTGACCTACCACAGCCTCCTGGAGATCCGCCGGGCTCTGAGCAAAGGTGGGCACAGCTCCGGGGACCGCCAGGAGGGTGGTGAGCACCCTGTGCTGGCCGGATGGTGACAGTGCTGTCCCCACAGGTGCCATCCTCCTCAACCTGGAGGCCAACTCGCTGCCGGCCATCGTCCACATCCTGCTGGACCAGCTCATCTACGAGGGGCAGATGAAGCCGCAGGACCGGGACGATGTCATGAGGACGCTGCTCCTGCGCCACAGGTACGGCCAGGGTGGGGGTCCCGGGGGGTCCCGGGCTCTGGGACCCTCCCCAGTGTGTGCAGGGAGCTGGAGCTTGGCTCTCGGCGGGAAAGCTCTGCCCCTCATCCCTCTTTGGGGGTTCCCGTGCACCCCCGGGGCTGGGGCTGTGCTGGGGAGCAGCTGGTGGCACCGGGGCGTGTGACACCCCCCCGTGTCCCCAGTCACCCCACCGAGGACGAGTCGGTGTGGACGATGCCGCCGGCGCTGGTGCAGCGCTCGGGCACCGGCAGGGCCGACGTGGAGCGGCCTCTCCTGAGGGAGCAGCGGCCCATGGAGATGAGCAGGATGGCGGGGAAGGAGCAGGTGAGGGGGACAGGGGGCACGGGGGGCGCTGGGGACATTGGGGTGCAGGGTGGGAGTGGGAGATGCACACTGGGTATACACACACTGTGGCTCACGCAGGCGCACACACACACACACAGGGAACAGTGGGGACACTTTGGGGACAGAGAGGGGCTCAGGAATAGTGGGGGACATGCAGGAGATGGAGAGGGACACGCAGGGAACAGAAGAAGTGACATGGGACAGACAGGGACGTGCATGGAGAGGGAGATGCAGGGGAACATGCAGGGGGTGGTGGGTGACACACAGGGGCAGAGCAGGGGGACATGCAGGGTACAGAGGCGACCACAGGGGACAGCCGCCAAGGCTGATTCCTGCCCTCCATCTGCTTGCAACAGAGCGGGGTCCCCAAACCCCAACTCCTGGAGACGATCCCAGAGGGTGCTGAGGCCACCCTGGTCCTTGTGGGTGAGTGGTCAGTGGGATGAGGGTGCTGGGTGCTGGGCACTGGGCGCTGGGTGCTGGGCACTGGGTGCTGGGTGCTGGGCTGGGTGCTGGGACCGGGGTGCAGGTGCAGGGTTGGGGTGCAGGGGGAGCTTTGCCATGTGCCCCTCGCTGTGCTCGCTCACTCGCTGCTTTTCTTGTGCCTTTTTTGCCTCTCCCCCTCCTCAGCTCTCGCCGCCGCCTGCTGCTGCTCAGCGCTGCTCTCTGGGCCCCCCTCCCCGTGTCCCTTGTCCCCATGTCCTCATGCCTCTATGTGCCCTGTGTCCCCGTGTCCCAATGTCCCTGTACTCTCATATCCACCCATCCGCGTGTCCGTGTGTCCATGTGTCCCCGTGTCCCCATGTCCCAATGTCCCTGTACTCCCATACCCATCCACCCGCGTGTCCGTGTGTCCGTGTGTCCGTGTGTCCCCATGTCCCAATGTCCGTGTACTCCCCTGCCCACCCATCCGTGTGTCCGTGTGTCCGTGTGTCCGTGTGTCCCCATGTCCCAATGTCCCTGTACTCCCCTGCCCACCCATCCGCGTGTCCGTGTGTCCATGTGTCCCCGTGTCCCCATGTCCCAATGTCCCTGTACTCCCATACCCATCCACCCGCGTGTCCGTGTGTCTGTGTGTCCGTGTGTCCGTGTGTCCCCATGTCCCAATGTCCCTGTACTCCCCTGCCCACCCATCCGTGTGTCCGTGTGTCCGTGTGTCCGTGTGTCCCCATGTCCCAATGTCCCTGTACTCCCCTGCCCACCCATCCGCGTGTCCGTGTGTCCCTGTGCCCATGCCCCACCTCCCTGTGTTTGCATGCCCACTTACCCCTTTGTCCCAGTGCCCTTTGTGCCCCTGTCCCATTCTCCTTGTCCCCTCTGTGTCACCTCGTCTCCATTCCTGATGTCCCCACGTTTTGCTGTCCCCACGTCCCCGTCCCCTGTGTCCCCGTGCATGCTCCCCCATGATCCCTGTCCCGTCCCATCCTCCCCCCAGGCTGTGCAGCCTTCCTGGAGCAGCCCATGCTGGCCTTTGTGCGCCTGAAGGACGCGGTGACACTGGACGGTGTCCTCGACGTGTCCATCCCCGTCCGCTTCCTCGTTGTGGTGCTGGGGCCCGACACGCCCCAGATCAGCTACCACGAGATCGGCCGTGCCATCGGCACCATGATGTCCGAGAGGGTACGGTCACCACCAGTGCCACCACCCACCCCTGAGCACCTGGGGTGCAGCGTGTCCCCGTGTGCCACGTCCCCTCTGATCCCCGTGTTCCCAAGACTCCGTGTCCTCACCTCCCTGTGTCCCCTTTTCACCAAGCCCTGGGGTGTCCCCATGTCCCCCCTGATCCCCATGTCCCTGTGCCTCTGTTGTTTCATGCCCCTGTCCCCAAGACTTCATGTCCTCCCCGCTCTGTGTCCCCTCATCCCCAAGCCCTGGGGTGTCCCCATGTCCCCCTCTCCCTGTGTCCCCTTATCCCCAAGCCCTGTGTCCCCTGATACTCAAGCCCTGTGTCCCCACGTCCCCAAGCCCGGTGTCCCCTTATCCCCAAGCCCTGAGGTGTCCCCACATCCTCCCCTCCCTGTGTCCCCTCATCCCCAAGCCCTGGGGTGTCCCCATGTCCCCCTCTCCCTGTGTCTTGTTATCCCCAAGCTCGGTGTCCCCTCATCCCCAAGCCCTGGGGTGTCCCCACATCCCCCTCTCCCTGTGCCCCCTTATCCCCAAGCTCTGGGGTGTCCCCACATCCCCCTCTCCCTGTGTCCCCTTATCCCCAAGCTCTGGGGTGTCCCCATGTCCTGCTCACCCCATGTCCCCTTATCCCCATCTCTGTGTCCCCTTATCCCCAAGCTCTGGGGTGTCCCCCTGTCCCCCTTCACCCCGCGTCCCGTGGGGACACCCCGGGTGCCACCACGGCTCAGTCCCCGCGCTGTCCCGTGTCCCCGCAGGTGTTCCGCCGGGACGCGTACCTGGCCGAGGGCCGGCAGGAGCTGCTGCGGGCCGTGGAGGATTTCCTGGACGCCAGCATCGTCCTGCCGCCCAGCGAGGCGCCCAGCGAGCCGCTGCTCCGCGCCCTGGTGCCGCTGCAGCGGGAGCTGCTCCGCCGGCGCTACCAACCCCTGGAGAGGCTGCACATCGGGGACTTCCTAAAGGATCTGGGTACGGCAGGGACCCCCGCAATCCGCTGTGCCCGGTGGGACCCCCTCCTTGGACACGGGGTCCCCTCATGGGCGCCTGGCGTGTCCCCAGGGAAGGACGAGGCGGCTGCGGAGGATGACGACCCCCTGCGCAGGACGGGGCGGCCCTTTGGGGGGCTGGTGCGGGACATCCGCCGCCGCTACCCCAAATACCTCAGCGACATCAAGGACGCGCTCAACCCGCAGTGCCTGGCCGCCGTCATCTTCATCTACTTCGCGGCGCTGTCCCCCGCCATCACCTTCGGGGGCTTGCTGGGTAATGGGGGGACAGGCTGGGGACGCTCCTGGGGACGGGGATGTCCCCCCAGCTGGGTGTGGGGCTGGGGGTGTCTCTGCCCATGGGGATGCTCCAGGGGGGCTCTTCCCCCAATCCTGGTGCCCAGAGGTGTGAGGTGTGGGCACAGCACTGTCCCCCCAGCTGGGCGTGGGGCTGGGGGTGTCTCTGCCCATGGGGATGCTCCAGGGGGGCTCTTCCCCCAATCCTGGTGCCCAGAGGTGTGAGGTGTGGGCACAGCACTGTCCCCCCAGCTGGGCGTGGGGCTGGGGGTGTCTCTGCCCATGGGGCTCATCCCCCCAATCCCAATGCCCAAAGGTGTGGGGTGGGGGCACAGCGCTGTCCCCCCAGCCCGGCACCCACCGGCTCCGCTCCCACCAGGTGAGAAGACCAAGGGGATGATGGGGGTGTCGGAGCTGCTCATCTCCACCTGTGTGCAGTGCGTGCTCTTCAGCCTCCTCAGCGCCCAGCCCCTCCTCGTCGTCGGCTTCTCGGGACCCCTCCTGGTCTTTGAGGAAGCCTTTTACTCGGTGGGTGCCCCCTAGGTGCCACCAGCTGTCCCCACAGTGAGGCTGGGGTGTCCCCACCAGCTTTGGGACAGGAACAGGGATGGGGATGGGGATGGGGATGGGGACAGGGACAGGGACAGGGTGCAGATGTGTGGGGGATGGCACATGAAGGTGATGCCACCCATGTGATGACCCAGGGGTGAGATCACACAGGTAGGGCCACCCAGGTGCTGGCCCTGGGGTGATGTGACACCACCTGGGTGATGCCAACCAGCTGCCCCCATGTGGGTGACACCCTAGGGAGGTTCCCAGGCAGGTGCTGCTGGGTGGGTGACCCCACGGGGGTCCAGCCCAGCTGGGTGCCCACGCCCTGACAGGGCTGTGCCCTCTGGCTCCCCAGTTCTGCAGCAGCAATGGCCTGGAGTACATCGTGGGACGGGTCTGGATCGGGTTCTGGCTGATCCTGCTGGTGCTGGTGGTGGTGGCGTGCGAGGGCAGCTTCCTGGTGCGCTACCTGTCCCGCTACACGCAGGAGATCTTCTCCTTCCTCATCTCCCTCATCTTCATCTTCGAGACCTTCTCCAAGCTGGTCACGGTGAGGGACATGGGAGTCCCCTGGTGAGGGGCACAGGGGTCCCACGGCAGGGGTGGGGGGCTGCAGATTGTGGTTATCACCCAGGTTTCCATGGAAACAGTGGGATGCAGGTGAGGGATGGAGTCTCCTGGTGCTGCCTCCCCTTTTCCAGGTGTTTCCCAGCTCATGAGGCCCCTTCCAGTGCTGACTGTTCTGTGACCCTGCAATCCACACTTCTCTCTGCAGAGGGATTTTGGGGCACACTCGTCCATCCCCACTGTACCACGCAGCCCTTGCTCTGTGCCCACTTCCAAAACCACAAAAGCACCCCCTGCTCAATCTGTGCTGAGCTCTCAGCCTCTCCCAGCCCCTGGTTCCCATCCTGAACCCACCTGGAAGGTGCCACAGGGCTCCCACCATGGCAGGGGGGTGCAGGGCATCCCCATCCCCACTCTCCCTCACCCTCTCCCCTTCTCTCCCCAGATTTTCAAGCAACACCCACTGAAGAGGGTGTACGACGTGCAGGATGAGGTGCAGCCCGGGGTGCCCGAGCCCAACACGGCGCTGCTGTCCCTGGTGCTCATGGCTGGCACCTTCTTCCTGGCCTACTTCCTCCGCGTGTTCAAGAACAGCTCCTTCCTGCCCGGCAAGGTGAGGGTCCCCCTGCGCCCAGGGGGGGCAAAATCTGGGGGTTCAGGGGCTGTTCCTGCAGGGGAAGGGGCGGTGGGACCCCTGGGCTGGGGGGCCCTGCGGGTTTCTCACGCTGTCCCCACAGGTGCGGCGCCTGATCGGGGACTTTGGGGTGCCCATTTCCATCTTCATCATGGCACTGGCTGATTTCTTCATCAACGACACCTACACCCAGGTCTGGGAGGGCAGGGATGGGGGGAAGGGTGTCCCCCCATGGGGACATGGGAGAGGGTGCTCGTCCCTGTGTCCCACCCCTCACTGTCCCGTCTCTGCTCCCCTCCAGAAACTCAGCGTCCCCAAAGGGCTGCAGGTCACCAACGCCACTGCCCGGGGCTGGTTCATCCACCCCATGGGGGACACCACCCCCTTCCCCATCTGGATGATGTTTGCCTCCGTGATTCCCGCCCTTCTGGTCTTCATCCTCATCTTCCTCGAGACGCAGATCACCACGTGAGGACGGGGATGTGGGCACGGGAGGGCTGTGGGGTGCCTGGTGGGCTGGGGATGGAGGGGACCTCCCCTGGCACTGTGTCACCAGCTGCTCCCTGCGTCCCCACAGCCTCATCGTCAGCAAGCCCGAGAGGAAACTGGTGAAGGGCACCGGCTTCCACCTGGACCTGCTGCTGATCGTGGCCATGGGGGGGCTGGCAGCCCTCTTTGGCATGCCCTGGCTCAGTGCCACCACCGTGCGCACCATCACCCACGCCAACGCCCTCACCATCATGAGCAAGACCTCGGCCCCGGGGGGCAAACCCCAGATCCTGGAGGTCAAGGAGCAGCGCATCAGCGGCCTGCTGGTGGCTGTGCTCATTGGTGAGCTGGGCAGGGGTCCCCAGATGGGCAGGGAGGGTCGGGGGTCCCCAGGGACTCTCCCCAACCTCTCCTTCTCCCCCACAGGCGTCTCCATCCTGATGGAGCCCATCCTGAAGTACATCCCCCTGGCCGTGCTCTTTGGCATCTTCCTCTACATGGGGGTCACCTCCCTCTTTGGCATCCAGCTCTTTGACCGCATCCTGCTCCTGCTGAAGCCCCCCAAGTACCACCCTGACGAGCCCTATGTCACCAGGGTGAGTGACCCCCATGGGGGCTGTGGGTTTGGGGTGTCCTGGGGCTCCCCAGAGAGCCAACTCCTCCTTCAGCACTGCTGGGTGGGACCCTGCACTGCTCCCCCAGCAGCCAACACCCCACAAAGGGTGTGGGACACTATCCCTGTCCTCAATGTGGGACGCTGTCCCTGTCCTCAACTCTCTGCTCCTCGTCCCACAGGTGAAGACTTGGAGGATGCACCTCTTCACCTTCACCCAGATCGTTTTCCTCGTGGTGCTGTGGGTGGTGAAGTCCACGCCGGCCTCGCTGGCTCTGCCCTTTGTCCTCATCCTCACCGTGCCCCTGCGGCGCTTCCTGCTGCCCAGGATCTTCCGGGACATCGAGCTCAAATGTGTACGCAGCCCTGGCACTGCCAGCCCTGTGCCAGCCCCACCTCTCTCCCTGCTCCTGCTCCTGTCCTCATCTCCATTTCTGCCTTATTCCTGTCCCTGTTCTCCTCCCCATCCCCACCTCCATCCTCTCTCTGTCCCCATCTCTGTCACCATCTGCATCCCTCATTCCCACCCGTGTCCCCATTCCTGTCCCCATCCTATTCCTTTCCCCAGCCTCATCCCAGCCCCTCCCTCATCTCCAGCCCCATCAGTGTCCCTGTCCTCAATCCCATCCCCATCAGTGTCCCTGTCCTCCATCCTGTCCCCATTCCATCCCATTCCTCAGCCTCATCCCAGCCCCTATTCCCACACTAGCCCCATCAGTGTCCCTGTCCCATTCCTGTCCCCATCAGTGTCCCTGTCCTCAATCCTGTCCCCATCCCTGTCCCCATCCCAGCCCCTATTCCCATGCCGTCCCCGTCAGTGTCCTTGTCCTCCATCCTGTCCCCAGTCCTGTCCCCATCAGTGTCCCTGTCCCATTCCTGTCCCCATCCCTGTCCCTGTCCTCCCTCCTGTCCCCAGCCTTATCCCAGCCCCTATTCCCACATCATCCCCATCCCTGTCCCTGTCCCATTCCTGTCCCTGTCCCACTCCTGTCCCCATCCCTGTCCCTGTCCCATTCCTATCCCCATCCCTGTCCCCAATCCTGTCCCCATCAGTGTCCCTGTCCCCTTCCTGTCCCCATCAGTGTCCCTGCCCATTCCTGTCCCCATCCCTGTCCCTGTCCCCATCCTGTCCCCATCCCTGTCCCCAATCCTGTCCCCATCAGTGTCCCTGTCCCCAATCCTGTCCCCATCAGTGTCCCTGCCCATTCCTGTCCCCATCCCTGTCCCTGTCCCCATCCTGTCCCCATCCCGTCCCCCTCACGGCTCTCCTCCCCACAGCTGGATGCAGATGACGCCGTGGTGACCTTTGACGAGGCAGAGGGGACAGATGTGTACAACGAGGTGCAGATGCCCAGCTAAGGGCACCCCCAACGCCCCCCCAGCCCCGCTGCCATCTGCACTGCTGCCATCCTGAGGCCACCGGGCCACCATCAAGGACTGGGGACACAGTCCCCACCTGCCCACCCTTGGGAATGGAGCCTTTTTTGTTGTTTTTCCCTTTTTTTTTTTTTTTTTTTTGGTCTATTTTTAAAATTATTTTGGATGATGTGATCTCACCCCCACTTTGCTGCCTGCTGGGGAAGGGGCTGGGCTGGCCGGGCCCCATGTGCCACCCATGGATGTGTCACTGTCCTGTCCCCAAGGCCACCACCAGCGTGGGAAAGAGCTGGAGGAAGACCCTGGAGGGAGGAGGAGGAAGGCAGGGACAGAGATACAGCAGGATGGGCTCTTCCCACCATCCTCCTCCTCCTCAGGGAGCCCCCCCCAGCCCAGCCCCTCTCCCCAGATGAACTTTGAACAAGCTGGGACAGACCCATCACCATGTGGAGCCTTTTTCCCATTTTCTCCATCAATATCTCCACAGGATGGTGGCAGCTTCTCCCCTGCACATCCCAGATCCAGGGTGTAAATAGCCCAGCAAGGGGGTTTATACATTTACAATGAAAACAATCATGCTTAAAACACACAGAAAAATACTCACAATTATGCTGATGCTTCCGCAGGTAGAATTCTCTTAGAGCCAAGGAAAAAATTAAAAAAAAAAAAAAGCTGAAAAAATACCTCAAAAATAGAAAAAAAAAAAAAAAGAAGAAAAAGAGAAAAAAAAAAGAAAAAAAGTAGCTGCAAGGAGTGATCTGTATATTTGATGCTACTGGGGGGGTTTGTAATTTATTTTTCAGGCTGGCTGTGCCCCCACTGCAGTGGGGCCAAGTGCGTGTGTGTATATACTAGAGAATGATAGCAAAACCTAGAATTTTCTAGAAAAGATGATTTTAAAGAATCCTGGTCAGGGCCTAAACTCTATGGACCAGTCTGGCAGCGTCATTTAACTGATAAGTTACTTTTAATTAGTTAATTAGTCCTCTTTATTTTTATAGTGTTTCAGGTAAATCCATGTAGGTTTTCCTTGATTTTTCCCTTGCTTGCTCACCGTATCTTGCCCCATTTCCCTTGGGATTGCTCCAAGGGATCCCCCAGTCCTGCCAGGGCTGATTCTGCTCCAAGGGTTGGATGTGACCAAGGGTGCAGAGCACCAGATCAGGCTCCAAATTTGCTCATTTTTGCATAAATCAGAGTAGGGGACCCCAAAATCAGCGTGGGGGGGGGGGTGGGAAGGGGCAGCCACACCCAGGGCTGCGCTGCCTCATGTTTAGGTTGGTTTAGTTTTATTAATTATGTGTCTGAAATGTTTTGATCTTTGGGGGTTTCTCCTTCCCTTCCCCACACCTCTGTATCGGGCTTTAATAAACAAATTAATAAAATCAGAAAGGAAATGGGGGTTTTCTTTCCAGCTGGGAATTGTCTGGGATGGAGCCTTAATTCCCCTGCAAAGGAGAATTAATTGGGGGATTGGGAATATCCTGATCCGCATTCCAGGGGGATTGGGAATATCCTGATCCCCGTTCCAGGAGGATTGGGAATATCCTGATCCCTGTTCCAGGGGGATTGGGAATATCCTGATCCGCATTCCAGGGGGATTGGGAATATCCCCATTCCAGAGGGATTGGGAATATCCCATTCCAGGGGGATTGGGAATATCCCATTCCAGGAGGATTGGGAATATCCTGATCCCCGTTCCAGGGGGATTGGGAATATCCTGATCCGCATTCCAGGGGGATTGGGAATATCCCCATTCCAGAGGGATTGGGAATATCCCATTCCAGGGGGATTGGGAATATCCCATTCCAGGAGGATTGGGAATATCCTGATCCCCGTTCCAGGGGGATTGGGAATATCCTGATCCGCATTCCAGGGGGATTGGGAATATCCTGATCCCCGTTCCAGGGGGATTGGGAATATCCTGATCCGCATTCCAGGGGGATTGGGAATATCCTGATCCCCGTTCCAGAGGGATTGGGAATATCCCATTCCAGGAGGATTGGGAATATCCTGATCCCCGTTCCAGGGGGATTGGGAATATCCTGATCCGCATTCCAGGGGGATTGGGAATATCCTGATCCCCGTTCCAGAAGGATTGGGAATATCCCGACCCCGTGCTGCTGGCACAGGACCCAGAGCAGCCCCTGCCCTTCCCCCAGCCCCTGGCACGGGGCTGACCCCGCTTATCCATAATCCCATTAAGGAACGGGGAGGGGGGGGGGGGGCACCGGCAGGGCTGTGGGAAGGGCCGTGCCCGCTCGCCTCCAGCCTGTCCATGGGGCAGGAACCGGGAGCAGCATCCTCGATCCCAAACAGAACCCCAAAAGCTCTCTGAGGGGCTGGGATAAACCCCAGTGTGGCCCCCAGCCTGTCCATGGGGCAGGAACCGGGAGCAGCATCCTCGACCCAAACAGAACCCCAAAAGCACTCTGAGGGGCTGGGATAAACCCCAGCGTGGCCCCCAACCTGTCCCAAACCCAGCAGAGCTGCTGGCCCCTGTTTTCCAGAGAGAGAAGCACGTGGATGGCACTTCCAAACCCAAGGGCCAGCTCCTGTCCCTGTGTCCCTGTGTCCCTGTGTCCCTGTGTCCCTGTGCCACCTCACGCCGCTGCCATCCCCAGGGCTGCCATCCCTGCCTGCAGCCCTGGCTGAGGTTCCCCAGCCCGGGAAGGGCTCGCTGTTCCCTGGGAGATGGCAGCGAGGTCACTGCCGCAGGATCCAGCCCGGCCTGGGGTGGGAATTTAGGTCAAGCTCCTCTTTGAACCCGCCTCAGCCCTGGGAAACGGGGAGGGAATTAGGGAAGGTCAGGAGAAACGAGGGGGAGATAAATGCTGATTAATTGGTTGCTAATGAGGGGGGGGGGGGGGCGTGGAGTTCCAGAGGGGGATCAGTCCTGGAAAGGAGAACCCCAGTGCCTGCAGCATCACGGGGTGCTCCATGCCATCCACGGGCATCTGCTGGCAGTGCCACTGAAAAAGCAGAAAAGTAAACAGAAACCTCCAAACCCGCGGCTTTATTCCCCAAAAATATTAATTGACACAAGTAACAGCAAATAAAAAATTCCCGTGGTCAAGAACAAGGCCTGGGAAGGGCAAGGAGAGAGGGGGTGGCATTTGGGGGGGGGGGGGGTCCCCATTTCCAGCCCACCCGCTGCAGGGTCTGTGGTTGATTCCCAGGTCTCCAGCGTGTCCTGCAGGTAGCAAAAGCCCCAAAACCACGTTGGGAGAATTGTGACTGGAGCACTTGACAACTCCCATTGATTTTTTAAAAAACCCTGAAAAATTATAAATGTCAATTTTCACATGTTGGGCCTGATTTGCTCTAAATATTTTATGTTAGGGGTTTTTTTGTTGTTTTTGTTTTCTTTTTTTTTTTTTTTTTTTTACTTTTATAATTTTTCCCTCTTGCAAAATAGCAACAATTCCTGAAATTCAGGGATCCACCCCAGGCCAGGCCGCTTTTCCACGCAGAATTAATACATATATTTTTATTTTTAAGCTCTCGCAGGAGGGATTAACCACCCGGCGCCAGTGCTGCCTGGCCGGGCTTGGCACAGCTCGGGCAGGACGTGGCGGAGGAGCCGGCTGTCCGCCTGTCCCTCCCTCCGCCTGATCCTTCCCTTCGGAAAAACCCAAAATAATCCACTTGTACGGCCAGGCACTGCCCCCGCACCCCAAACCAGCCGGGGGGGTGTGTGTTACCCAGATTTAGGCATTATTATATTTATTATATTATATTTCTATATAAACAGGCGCGAAAACCCCGCGGATTTCAGCCATCCCCACGCGGTCAGCCGGGGAGATGCGCGCAGCCCACCGAGCCGGGTGTGTGTGTGTTACCCACATTTAGAGATTATTATATTTCTTATATTTCTTATATTTCTATATAAACAGTTTTCAGCCATCCCCATGCGGTCAGCCGGGGAGATGCGCGCAGCCTACCGAGCCCAGTGTGAGTGCGTTACCCACATTTAGGGATTATTATATATTTTATATTATATTTCTATAGAAACAGTTTTCAGCCATCCCCATGCGGTCAGCCCAGAGATGCGCGCAGACCCACCGAGCCGGGTGTGTGTGTGTTACCCACATTTAGGGATTATTATATTTATTATATTTCTATATAAACAGGCGTGAAATCCCCCAGATTCCGGCCATGCCGGGAGATGCACGCAGCCCACCGAGCCGGTTCCCAGCGCCCGTCCCGCATCCCCGGCGGGGCCGTGCCGGTGTTCCCGGTGCTACCGGAGCCGGCCCGGCCGGGAGCAGCGCCACGGCCGGAGCCGCCCGGAGCACGCCAGGGCCGGGCCTGGAGCGGCCGTGCCCGGTAACCGGAGCCGCCCGGAGCGCCGGGAGCAGCCGGGGAGGCCCGGCCAGCCGAGCTGCTCGGTGCCGCGGCGGCATCCGGTGCTACGGGAGCTGCCGGTACCGTGCAGGAAGCCGGGCCCGGTGCTACGGAAGCAGCCGGTACCGGCGGCGGTGCTCGGCACCGCGGAGGCCGCCGGGCCGGCCGGTGGCACGGAAGCAGCCCGGGATGGCCCGTACTGTGCCGGCAGCCGGGATGGCCGGGAATGTGCAGGCGCTGCCCGGCCGGGATTGGCTGCGGGGAATGACGCCCAGCACAACAAAGGTGGAGTTGGAGAAATTCCATTAAAAAAAATTAAGAGAGAGAGAGAGAGAGGGAGAGAGAGGGAGAGGAGAGAAAGGGAGCGGAGGGAGGGAGGAGGGGAGGAAGCTGCCCCTCGCCCGCCCCGCCGGGCAGAGCCCCCCCCGCCGCCGTGTCCCGGGGCCGCGGGGCGGGCAGGAGCGCGGCCCCGCCGTGCCGTGGGGGCCCGGCTCGGCTCCCCCCCCGCCCCTTCCCCTTCCCGCTTCCCCCCCCTTTATTTTTTTTTTCCTCATTTCTCTTTTTTCCCCCCTATTTTTTTTTATTTTTTTTCTTTATGCAAACGCCGACCGAGGATTGTTGCACATGTAAGGAGATTTTTTTTTTTTTTCTTCCTCCCTTCCCCCCCCACCACCCCACCCCCCCCCCTCCTTTCCCTCCTCTTCTCCTTCCTCCTCCTCCTCCTCCTCTTTTTCTTCTCACCACAGTGTTGCAAAAGCAAAGAGCAATAAAAAACCCGGCGGAAAGCGGCGGCGGGGCGGCGGGGCTGGCGGGGAGATCCCGGCGGATCCCGGCGCGCTCAGCCCGGCTGATTGGAAGAGCGAACGCAGCGCCATGGAGGCGGGGGAAAGCGCGATCGTCTCTGCGGGGACTGGAGCGCGTCCACGCCCGGGGCCAGCGCTGCAGAGCTGGCCGCCGTTCAACCGCCGCTCCCCCGCCCCGGCCCCGCCGAGCGAGCCCCGAGCCCCCGCCGCCCCCCAAAGCGGCGGCCCCGCCGGTACGTGCCCGCGCCGGGGGAGCCGCCGCCGCCGTGCCCCGCCGCGCCGCGCCGTGCCCGCCGCCCGGGCTCGCCATTCGCCGCCGCGCCGCTCCGCCGGCGGGGCTGGAGGAGGCGCTTTGTTCCTCCCCGGGCTCCCGCTGCCGCTGCCGCCGCCGCCACCGCCGCGCTCCGGGCTCGGTAAGGCGCTCCGCCGCCGCTCCGACGGGAACGGGGAGGGGGTCGCGCCCACCGGAGCGATTTTTTTTTTTTTTAGAGAGAGAGAGAGAGAGAGAGAGATAGATAGATAAATATAAAAGAGAGAGAATATTTTTTTTTTTTTTTTTAGAAAGGCTGGTTTCGCGCAGGCCCCGCGGGCAGGAAGCCGCCGCCGCCACCGCCGGGGCTCGCCCGCCTCGCCCGCCCGCGGGGGGCACCGCGCTGGGGCTCGGGGCGGGGGGCAGCGCCCGGCTCGGCGGCCCCGGTGTGCCCCCCCCTTCTCTCCCTCCTTTTTCCCTTCCCTTCCCTCTCCTCCTCCTCGCTCCCTCCCTCCTTCCCGCTCGCCTTCCCTCCCTCCTCCCCGGTGCCGCAGCTGGATTTCGGGGGCAGGCTTCCAGCGCTGCCCGCTTGTTTTTCCCGAGCCCGGGTGAGTCCCGCGCCGCGGCGGGAGCTGGGCGCCGCGCTCCGCCGGTGCGTGCCGGGGCTCGGCCGACCCCCCCCGCGCTTCATCTCCCCTTATCCTCGCTCTATCCCCTCTTTATCCCTTTTTTCTCCTTATTTTCTTTTTATCTATATTTTTTTTTTACCTCCCCCTCTTTTTTTTTTTTTTTTCCGCCTTTCACCCCCCTTCCTTTCCTTTCTTCCCTCCGGACCGGGAGCGGGGCTCCAGCCCCCCGCTGGGTGGGTGGGTGTTTGCGGGCTCGAGGAGGGGTCGCGGAGAGAAAAGAGGGGGGTAAGAAAGGGAGGAAAGGAAAGGAAAAACGAGGAAAGGAAAAGCGAGGAGGGGGCGGCGGTGGGGAAAAAGAGAGGGGGGGAGGATCGGGTAGGAGCCGCTCCCCGGGGGTCGGTGCGGGGAGGTCGCGCTGCCCTCGCCCGGCTCGCTGCAGCTGCCCGGCCGCCCCCAGCCGGGCATCCCCGCCCCCCCTTCCCCCTCCTCCTCCTCCTCCTCCTTCTTCTCCTTCTCCTTCTTCTTCTTCTTCCCCCAGCGGCTCCGGCGGCGGGGTTGGGGCTGCGGCGGCTCGGTTAGAGCTCCCCCCCACACCCCCCCCCCCTCCAACCTCCTCCCTCCTTCTTCCACCACCACCTCCTCCTCCTCCTCCTCCCCCTCAGCAGCCCGGAGAGGTGGGTTTGTCTCGGCTTTATAACCGCGGGTGGAGGGGAAGGAGCGGCGGGCGGAGGCGGGCGCAGCCCGGCCATTGTGTGCCGCGGCGGAGAGCGGCCGGTAACGATGGGGGGATGCGGGGGGGGATGCGGTGAGGGGGGGGATGAAGCAGCGCATCGCATCGCTCCGGGGGGCCGGGGGTGCGGAGAGGGGCCGGGGGAGCGCTCCGCGTTCCCCCGGCCCCTCTCCGTACCCCCGGCCCCCCGAACTCGCCTTCCATTGTCTGCCCGGGTGTTGTTGGAGGGAAAGAAAAAAAAAGGGGGGGGGGGGGGGCTCAGCTCGCTGGCGCCCGGGTGGGAACCGGGGGCGGGGGAGGCGCCGCCGGGGCCGCCCGCGCTCGGTCCCACCCGGTTCCTGCTGCCTGCTGGAGGAGGAGACTGGAGCTGGCCGGCGGCGCAGGGCATGTGCGGGCTCCCCGCCTCCGCCCGCCGGCCCGGCCCCTTCCTCCCCCGCCTCCTCCTCCTCCTCCTCCTCCTCCCCCCCTCCGGGCGCGGGATCCGGTCCCCCCCCGGCTCCCCCGCGGGGGGATCCCGCACCCCCTCCCCGCGCGCCCCCCGGGGATCCCGGTGCGCGCGCACCGCCCCGCCCCGCCATGATCCCACGGATCCCTCCCCCTGTCGCGATCCCGCCTTTCGCGACACCCCCACGCGTCCCCCCCCCCCCCCCGGCTGCGATCCCCCGCTCGCAGCCCGGGGCGATCCCCGCGTTCACGCCGCCCGGGGGCCGGGCTTGATCCCACCCCGCGGCGATCCCTCGGCCGGCCCCGGGGTGGTCCCAGGTCCGCCCCCCGCGGGGGTTGATCCAAGGCTGGAGCGGTTCCCCCCATCCCGTCAGGGCTCATCCCGCCCCGGGCGATCCTCGGTCCCACGCTGGAGGGGTCTGCGCGCCCCTCACCCGCCCCAGGTGATCCCCCAGGCTGGATCTCCCTCTGGGGGTCCCGCATTCGGTCCCCCCGGGGCTGGCCCGGCCTCCGGGCCTGGCGGGGCCTGCACCCCGCGGTGCTCCCGCATTCCCCTCCAGCAGCTCATCTCACCCCGGGCCATCCCGGATGTGCCGGGCTTTCTGCACCCCTGGGCCGTCCCCGGGTGCTCCTCCCTCAGACCCAGGGCCCGGTTCTGCCCGAAGCCCCTGGAGCCCCTCCCCAGGGCCCCCCCAAGCCTGGATTGACCCGGGGATCCCCCAGGCCCAGCCCGTCCCCAGGCCTGGGCCTGCTCTGCCCCCCAGGCCTGCGGCCTGTCCCTCAGGGGATCCCCCTGAGGCCTCCTGCCGGCTCTGCCCTCCAGGGGCTCCCCCAATGGAATCCCCCATGGGGATCCCCCCAGGCTACTGTCCTGCCACCCCCCCCAACCAAGTTTTGGGGTCTCCCTCCCTAGGTTATCCTTCCCCATGGAGACATAAGATGCTTCCTAATGGGGTCTGAGGGCATCCTTCTCCTGGAGCCCCTCTGTTGAAATACTTTCCTCCAGCTTGTTCTCCTCCCTTGGGAGACCCCTGAATCCCCCCGAGGTCCCCAAATGCCCCCCCCCAGCTCCCTTGGATCTGGGGGACCCCTCTCTACTCCAAGCATGTCCCCACCTCTGGGGAGGATTTTGCTGGATCTGTGGTGGGCCTTCCTTTGAAACCCCCATTTTGCAGTGGGGGGAGTAAACCCCCTTTCAGGAGATCCCTTGGAGCCCTTGATTCAGATTCTCTTGATCCCAGGTTTTTGGATCCCACCCACCCCAGGGAGCCACCTTGAATGTGTCTCCTCTGGGATTTATTGGGATCCCTGTCAGATCCTACCCCCACCTTGGAGACAAACCGCTGCACCCTTCTCCCCTGTCCACAGACCCCTTTTCTCCTCCCCTGTCCAACGTGGGGGTCACATCACCACGGAGGATCCCCCATGCTGGAGCTCTCTCCAGGGGATATTCCTGCACTCATGCAGTGGGAATGGAGAGGATGGGTGGATCACGTTTCCCCCACTCCCCGTTAGGAGTTGGGGTCCCCCCATCACGGTGGGGATGCCTAGCAGGGTTCTCCCTTTCCTTGCAGAGCCGTGCGGGAGTGATTTCGGGAAGAGGGTGAGGAGGGAGCCGGCGGGACCGTGCTGGGCACAGGCAGCTGGAGGATGAACGGCGAAGCTGAGTGCCCTGCAGACCTGGAAATGACAGCTCCCAAAAACCAAGGTGAGCCCCCAGCAGCCCCCCCAGCATGTGCTCCCAGAGAAATACTGCTGCCATGCTTAAAAAATAATAATAAATAAACCTCAGAGAGGCTGTTTTCTCGGAGAGATTGGCAGAGGAGGAGGGATGGAGAGGGAGGAGGGATGGAGGATCCGTGATCCCGGCTGCCAGCAGGGTGAGGTGGGGGGGAATCTGCCTCTCTGAGTTCTGATCCCCCCCGGGGAACACACACACACGTGTACGAGCACACGGATTCACGCTCCAGTGCACCAGCAGCCCCTTGGCACTGGGATGCTCCTGGGGGGGATTGGGAAGGGGGGGCTGGCACAGAGGTGCTGCCCTGCCCTGCTCACATCTGGGCTGCATTAAAAGCCGAGCCGTTACCTTGGGCCTCCAGCTTCCAGACCCCAGCGTGACATCAGAGCTTCAGCTTTTATTGGAAAAGGGGCAGGAAAACAAGGGAAACAAGAGAGATGTTTGTTTAGGGGCAGCTCGCAGGGCTCTGCCACTCCACCCCTTAAAAACCCCCTGGCTCCCCCAGACCTGTGGAGCGCCGTCCAGCCCCTCACACCTGCCAGGTCCCCCCGTTTTCCTCCGTCCCTGCTGCAGTCAGGGTTGTTGCCTCGAGCGAACCCGGCCGAGCACGTGTCCTTCTCCGGGACTTGAGATGGATTTAATTACACCGGGGCAGCTTTCCTAATATAGACCCGGCCCGGCCGGTGCCAGGAGAGCCAGGATAAATCGGTCCCAGGGCACAGACAGCCCCATTCATCCTGCTGGGTGAGCGCCTCAATTCCAGCGGTCCTCAGCATGCCCCAGGTTGAGGGATGGGGATGGAGGGCTGAGTGTGGGGGTCCTGTTGTCCCCACGCTGCTGCCAGCAGGGATTTTGGGATGTTTCCACTGGTTTTTAATGTTTTCCTTTGGGATGTGGTTGTTCCGGCTGTGTGCCAGTGGAGGGTTCACACGGGGCCAAAGGTCTCCGGGTGTTTCTGTATTTCAGGGGGAAACTGAGGCACTGGGCTTGACGGGGGTGGGTTTAGGGGGGTGTCTCATCCCCTTCTCCATCCCCTCTGGATTTTTGTGGCTGTGCTGCTTTTGGTAATTCCTCCTGATTTCTGCAAGTAAAGTTGGCACCAGCTTCCCAGCCCTGTTCTGCCTCATTGGTCCTTGCCTGGGAGGCTTGGAAAGTGGACGGGAAAAACAGGAAGACAGAATTTGGGGCTGTGTTCTCCCTCCCTCAGCTCTGATCTCCCCCAGCTCTGTGGGGAATGGGCGTTTCCCCATCTCTTTTGCCTCTTCATGGTGTTTTGGGATGAAGCCATGAGTATGGGGACACACCCCAAGCCACCAGGCCTTCCAGGGGAGCTTTTTCTGTCTTCTCCCTCCTTATTAATTCCTAATGAGGTCACTCAAGAGACCAGCTGGATCCTAAATTATTCCTACCTTGACCCCCAACCAGGCAGGTCCAGCAGGGGAAATAGGATGAGGGGGTCACGTCCTGGCTCTGCTCCCTTCTCCAGGTGCCATATGTCCTTTAACATCCCTTGCTTGGATTTGAGAATCCAGGGGAATTGTCCTTCCCCAGACCCCTGCAAGGGCAGGAGGTGGAGGTGTTTTTCCTCATGTTGAGTCTTGAGTGGAAGGAGAGCTGCAGCTGGAGAAATCAGTGCAGCTGGATATTTCTGGGAGCTTGCTTTCATTCCTGGAGATGGAGGCAGAGATGCTCCACTCAGATCCATGACGAGCCACCCTGTCCCCATCTCTGGGGGGCTCCATGTCCCCAAACACCTCGGCCTTCACCTGGCAGAGGTGTGAGGCAGGGGATGCCGTGCTGGGCTGCGGGAACCCCGGCGCCCATCCCGGGCTGAGGCAGCCGGGGCTGCGTGGGCGGGCGGCTCCGGGCTCTGCTCCGCCTCCAGCCCATCCCCAGGGAATTTTCCTTCCGCTCCCAGGCCCCGCTGCATTCCCCAGGGCCACCCATGTTTGCAGAGCGCCCTGGGCTGTGCTCCCCTGCTGGCCTGGAAGCTCGGAGCAGGGAGGAATTCCCCTGGCAAGGAAGCAGCCCCAAGGTTGGGGTAGGATGAGGTGTTCAGGGCTGGGATATCCTGCCTGCTGCCTGTCCCAGCACGGTGCTGCTGCCTGTCCTGGCCTCCAGGCTGCTCCAGGCTCTCGGGCTTTGCCACGTGCCCATCCCACCATTCCAGTAGCATGTTCCTATGGGAGCTGGGGATGCTCCTCCCAGCAGTTTGGGGGATGTTGGGGTGACATGAACATCACCCTGCGCTGTCAGAGACCCCTCTGTGAGACAGGAGGGCTGTGCTGGGCTCTGCCCTCCCCACTTTGTGATCTGGGAGCTTTGACCTTGGCAGAGGTCACGGTGGAGCTGGGCCCGGGTGATCGCAAAGCTGTCTGAGGTGCAGGAAAAGCAACGCTGAGCTTTTCCACTTTCTCTGGACACATCCACTTAGGAAGTGGGTTTCTCTGATTCCTGCTTGTCTGGAGAGCTCATTGCTCCCATGTTAGGGGTAGGAAATAGCCCTCTGCTCCCGTGCAGCAGGGCCATCCCTTATCTGATGCTTCTCTGGGATGAGCGAGTCTCTCTGGTTTGCGCCGAGTGGAATTTCTAGCTTTGCCCAGATTGTTTTGGCCCGTAGAGAGCTGCTCGAGGGTGATGGAAACAGCCACGTCCCTTTGATCTTTAATCTCCAGAGGCAGCATGTGGAGATTACGTGTCCTGGCGTGCGGTCCGGAGCGGCACGCCGGGAGCTGTAGTCCCTGGGAAGGGAAGGGAGGGGAAGGGAAGGGAAGGGAAGGGAAGGGAAGGGAATAGGCTTCCTGCCCCTGCCTGATCCTGTTTCTCACTGCTCAGACCGCTGGTCACAGGAGGACATGCTAACCCTCCTGGAGTGCATGAAGAATAACCTGCCCTCCAACGACGGGAGCAAGTTCAAAACCACCGAGTCCCACCTGGATTGGGAAAAAGTGGCTTTCAAGGACTTCTCAGGGGAGATGTGCAAGATGAAGTGGATGGAGATCTCTAATGAGGTAATTGACACCTCGTGGGGCTTCATGGGGGCATTGTGGCAGGGTCTGAGCGTCCTACTGACACTCCCTAGGCTGTTGGCATTGTCCAGGTTGAGTGCCCAGAGCGCTCGGCCCTTGGTGCTGGCACCATCCTGTGACCCCCTCAGAGGGGCTGGGATCAGTAATTTTTGGGGTGGCATTACAAGACCCAGTGGCTTTCTGCTATGCTGGGGTTCTGCCCTGCCCCCTATTCAAATCTTTATCTCTTCATTTCCTGAACAGGTGAGGAAATTCCGGACCCTCACAGAGCTCATTATGGACGCTGAAGAGCACGTGAAGAATCCTTACAAAGGCAAAAAGCTCAAGGTATTGGGCAGGAATTAGGCTCAGTCTCTAAAGGGTGACCCCACACTTCCCCAGGATGTGGTCCTGTTGTCCCTTTGGCACCTCAGATCCACGTGGCCCCACCGTGGGAGCCCCTGCAGGCACCTCAGTGCCCCTAATCCCGGTGTCCGGCTGCCCAAGGCTCTGGAGGCTGTGGCTCTGGGCCTGGGCCAACTCCTGGGTACATTTAATATGGCTGGCTGTACTGCTGGCAGCCTGCATCCAAGTTTAGCTCCAGAGGGGCTGGGAGCTGCTGTCCTATTCCTGGCCTGCCGGGTGCTTTCAGCTGGGTGGCCCTGAGGCAGCCGATGGTCCATCCCTGGGAGCTGGGTCCCATCCCCTCCTCCTGCCCCACTGTCCCCTCTTGCTCTGTGCTGGCAGCTCTGGATGGCTGGAGGCTGCTCCCAAGGCTCCCAGCCACGGGATGCTGTAGTTCCTTGGGGAGCCCTCATTCCCAGCAGTTTCCCCCTCCTTGCCTGCTGTGCCTGGATGACCAGCAGGGCTGGATGGAGGCAGCCCCCAGGTCCGGGGAGCCATGGGTTGGGCTGTGTCCCAGTGGTGCTGCCAGCTCCATGCTCAGTGTCCTCCACTCTGCTGTCTCCCCAGAAACACCCCGACTTCCCCAAGAAGCCCCTGACTCCCTATTTCCGCTTCTTCATGGAGAAGCGAGCCAAATACGCCAAGCTTCACCCCGAAATGAGCAACCTGGATCTCACCAAGATCCTGTCCAAAAAATACAAGGAGCTTCCCGAGAAGAAAAAGGTATGGGGGAGGTGAGGGAGGGGTCAGCAAGCCCCTTCCCACCATGGGCCTCTCTGTGCTGGGCTCTGCTCAGCTTTTCCAGTAAAACCAGCAGAGCCCAAGCTCTGCCTGCTGAGGGCTCAGTGCAGCTCTTGACAGGAGAAGCCAGGTGTTCCTTTAGTCCTGTCAGACCTGTAAGACTTCCTTGGCTTTTCCTGTCCTGGTTCCCAGGATCCCTGGGGTGGAGGCCGGTTGGGTCTGTCCGTTTGTCCGTCTCTTCCTGACGGACCTGGATGGTGGCTTTGCCACTGGGTGGGTCTGTGTTTAAAGGGGTAAAGGCACACGCCCCACTGTGCCACCCTGTCCGGGTGAGGGACACAGGGACAGGCTCTGGGAGAGGCTGGGAGCAGAGATCTGCCCACCAGGAGATGCCAGAGCCTGGGCAGGGCTTTGGGGTGCCCAGCTTTAACTCTGGGGTGTCCAGGGCACAAGGTCCTGCTGTGCCCTTTCCCAGGGCTGCTGGGGTACGCAGAGAGGGGAGATGCCAGCTGCTGAGTCTCAGGCAGGCTGGAAACCCTCTGCAGGACCATTCCATGGGCTGGAGAGCCTCTTGGGGTGGTGGGATGCCCAGCCAGGTGGATAGGGATGTGTCTTCCTGCCTGTTCCTGGTGCTGACGTCCCTCTCCACCTCTGTGGTGGCATTGTGTCCCCAGATGAAATATATCCAGGACTTCCAGCGAGAGAAGCAGGAGTTTGAGAGGAACTTGGCGAGGTTCAGGTGAGCAGGCAGCCCCCCTCCATATTTCCCTAGGCCTCTCCAGGCAGATCCAGATTGCCCTCCTGTGCATAGCTCATAGAGCCCACTGATTGAAGAGAAGGGGGAATTCAGCAAAAAGAGAGCAAGGAAAAGGTGTCTGAGAGCAACCCTGCAGCTGGGACACTGGATGAGGGACCAGCCCTGCTCTGGGGGTCAGGGTCTGCGAGGTGGGGACAGCACTGATACAAGCTGAAGTGTCCCCCCAGTCACTCCAGACCTTCCCCTTGGACGTGATTGCTGTGATCCAGGTGGATCCAGGCATCCCCAATGACCTGCTGCTGCTGCTTCAGGGTTGCAGCCGAGCTGTAGCCAATGCTCCCCAAGGAGGCACAAACTTAAATCTCTCCTAAAAGCCTCCTGCTCTTTTTGGGGACCCCCCAGCACCTGAGCCCATGGAGGCTCTGCCCTGCAGTGAGGTTTAGGGGTGCTCTCCTTGCCACTGCCACCTCCCTGACGCTCTCCCTTCCCCACCTGCCCTCCTGCTGAAGGGAAGACCACCCGGATCTCATCCAGAACGCCAAGAAATCCGACGTCCCCGAGAAGCCCAAGACCCCCCAGCAGCTGTGGTACAACCACGAGAAGAAGATCTACTTGAAAGTGCGTCCAGATGTGAGTACGGTGGGTGGGAGTGAGTGCGAGTGTGAGTGCTGGGGGGTCCTGGACCCCGCTGCTGGGGCAGGAGGGGGAAGGGAGAGAAGCATTTCAGGGGGTCGGGATGGAGGACACCGCTAGCAGCTCCTGGAGCCTGGACCCAGGTAAGGAGGAGCTCTGCACACCTGGAAGAGGCTCAGGGATCCAGCCCCCACTTTTTGCCAGGAAGGGGTGACCACAGCCTGAGTCAGGGCAGGAAAAGGAAAGGATTCCAGCACAGACATCCACCTCTGGCCATGCCCCCCACTCCCACACAGCCCCACGGCTCCCAGCCACCCCATGCCGGGTGCTGTCAGGCCCCAGCAGGCCACGCCATTTTTTTTGCCATTTTTCTGCCATTTTTTCATATTTTTTCATCCCTCTTTTTTTTTTGGATTTTACCCCTCTGCCCTCACCTCTGGCTTTGGGTTTTCAGGCCACCACGAAGGAGGTGAAAGAGTCGCTGGGCAAGCAGTGGTCTCAACTCTCGGATAAAAAGAGGCTGAAATGGATTCATAAGGCCCTGGAACAGCGGAAGGAGTACGAGGTAGGGAGCAGCCTCACCCGGTCCCCTCCACACTGGTCCCAACATTCACTCTGAGCCTCTCTGCATCCCAGCCCTGCAAGGCCTCTCCCGATAGCCAGCGTGGGGATCAGGCAGGTCCTGGCAGGTCCCTAGTGAGTGTGAGCCCTGCCTCTCCAGCCGTGTGTGAGGCAGGCAGCAGCATCCCAGGGCACAGGATCAGGGCAATGGTTGGCTTCTCTCTCCTCCTCCTCCGGGCCCGGCAGCGGGGGTGGCAGCCCCTCTGACCGCTCTCCGTTCCCACAGGAGATCATGCGGGATTACATCCAGAAGCACCCGGAGCTGAACATCAGCGAGGAGGGAATCACCCGCTCCACCCTCACCAAGGCCGAGAGGCAGCTCAAGGACAAGTTCGACGGACGACCCACAAAACCTCCCCCGTGAGTGCTGTCCCTCCTGGAGCCACGGCCTGCGGGGGTGCTGGTTCTTGCCAGAGAGGAAACTGGGCTCTGCTGGGCTTGGGGAGCCCAGATAACTCCTGGGGTCACAGACACAGAGGGGTTACATGGGGTTTGTAGGACACATTTTTCATGGACAAGCCTGGGAACAGGCTGCCCAGGGCAGTGGTGGAGTCACCATCCCTGGAAGGGTTCAAAAAGTGTGGATGTGGCACTTGAGGACATGGTTTAGTGGTGGCCTTGGCGGTGTTAGTTCATGGTTGGACTAATGATCTTAGAGGGCTTTTACAGCCTTAAAGATGACATGATTCTGTGGTGATCCCTTTAAACCAGTTCTTAAATATACATCAAATACACATTTTGGGGAGCATCTGAGTGAGGTTTACGATGATACTCTGGCTTTTAGGGGGTGATCCAGCACCCAGCTCCCCTAAAACACAGGCACTTCACTTCCTTGCCTGGTGCAGCCTAGCTGGGGGGGTTTTGGGGAGGCTTTCTGCACTGATCCAGCCACACATGGGCAAGTTTTCCCTAACACTGGGTCCCCCTGTGGATTTTTCAGGAATAGCTACTCCCTGTACTGTGCAGAGCTGATGGCCAACATGAAAGACGTGCCCAGCACGGAGCGGATGGTGCTGTGCAGCCAGCAGTGGAAGCTGCTCTCCCAGAAGGAAAAGGACGCCTACCACAAAAAGTGTGACCAGGTGAGTGATGGACAGGTAGGGGAAGAGGCAGGTGGGCACCAATGCAGAGTCTGGGCTACAAATATCCCTGGAAACACCCTCACCTTTGCTCAGTCCCTGTGCTGGTGTGCATCACCAATTCTCCCTGAGGTCCTTGGTCACCTCCCTGGATCCTGTCTCCTGTGTGGGACAAACACATGGTCCAGGTGGAGGGTGCTGTTGCCAAGGGATGGGGATGGATCAGAGGCTGCAAGGCGCAGGGATGGAGTGAGGGATCTCTGTGTAACCACACGTCTCCATCTCCTTCCAGAAAAAGAAAGATTACGAGATCGAGCTGCTCCGCTTCCTGGAGGTGAGTGATGAGGGGGTGCTCAGCCATCAGGTGCTGGAGATCCCAAATCTGAGAATGGGGGAATTAAATGGGGAGCTGCCCTCTCTGCTCCCCCAAAACATGTCTGGGCCCGGCTGTGGGTGCTGTGCAGGTGGTTGCACATAGCCTTGACCTTCTGTCTGTCCTAACGCCTGACTCAGCGTCTTCCAGTTGGGCCCTGGGGAGGTGAGGGTGGGCCCCCAGGTGGGGTGAGCAGAGGGCTGGAGCTGCAGGGGCGGCTGTTCAGTGACTGTGGCTGTGCAGCCTCTCACTTCCTTCCCTCGTGGGCGGGGGAGCTGCACCGGGGCCACCCCAGCGTGGTCCCCGTCCCCGGGCGGATGTGACGCAGCCCCGGCTGCGGCTGCAGGGCCACGAGGTGGAAAACCCAGGGGTGTGCCCGGACCCAGGCACCTGCCCACCTGCTTTCACTGAGAAACAGGGGAGAGGGACACTGCCCAGATAGGGGGTGACAGCACAGGAACCCCAGTCTGTACATGTGCAGTTCCAGATGCTGGTCCTGCCTGGGACAGGGTGTGGATCAGGACACCCAAGTGCATGAATTCCCCTTCCCCAGAGTCCCTATTCCCCCATTGCCTCAAGGCCTCATTAGCACTGGGCTGTCTAACGAGTTCTCTCCTCCTGTGCCACCCAGAGCCTGCCCGAGGAGGAGCAGCAGCGGGTGCTGGGCGAGGAGAAGATGCTGGGCAGCAACCGGAAAGGGGCGACGAGTCCTGCGTCCAAAAAGTCCTCACCAGAGACCGGCAAGGTGGGGGCAGCACCTGCCAGAGCCTTGGGGTGGGGTTGTGCATCTCAAGGGGCTTTGGGGGGGGCTGTGGTCCCTGCATGGGCTCCAGCCCCTCACAGCCCCGTGTGCCCCCTCAGGCCAGCTCAGAGAAGCCCAAGAAGCCCAACTCAGCCATGTTCATCTTCTCGGAGGAGAAGCGGAAGCAGCTGCAGGAGGAGCGGCCGGAGCTGTCAGAGAGCGAGCTGACCCGGCTCCTGGCTCGCATGTGGAACGACCTCTCCGAGAAGAAGAAGGTGGGCACCATCCCTGTGTTCCTCCTCCATCTCCATCACCATCCCTGTATTCCTTCTCCATCACCATCCCTGTATTCCTCCTCCATCTCCATCACCATCCCTGTATTCTTTTTCCATCACCATCCCTGTATTCCTCCTCCATCTCCATCCCTGTATTCCTTCTCCATCACCATCCGTATATTCCTTCTCCATCTCCATCTCCATCCCTCTATTCCTCCTCCATCTCCATCACCATCCCTGTATTCCTTCTCCATCTCCATCTCCATCCCTCTGTTCCTCCTCCATCTCCATCACCATCCCTGTATTCCTCCTCCATCACCATCCCTGTATTCCTCCTCCATCTCCATCACCATCCCTGTGTTCCTTCTCCATCACCATCTCCATCCCTGTATTCCTCCTCCTTCTCCATCTCCACTGCTCTGTGGGCATCTTGGGCAGTGCAGGGAGTGCTCCTGTCCTTGTCCTGCACCACGGGGCACAAATGTCCCCATGATCATCACAGCGACCTGTCACACAGGTGCCAATGTCGGCACTGGCTGTGCCTCCTCCTCTCATCACCTGGGGGGTCAAAACCCACCAGATAAAGAAACCTCAGAGGACCCACCAGGCTTTGGTGGTTTTCCTGATGGGGAGAGTCCCGAGATGGGGTTGAGGGGTGTCAGTGGGGACAGTGCTGGGGGAGCTCCATGTCCCCCTGTGCTGGGGGCTGTGTCCCTGCCATGTCCCCTGTGCTGGGGGCTGTGTCCCTGCCATGTCCCCTGTGCTGGGGACTGTGTCACTGCCATGTCCCCTGTGCTGGGGGCTGTGTCCCTGCCATGTCCCCTGTGCTGGGGACTGTGTCACTGCCATGTCCCCTGTGCTGGGGGCTGTGTCCCTGCCATGTCCCCCTGTGCTGGGGGCTGTGCCCCTGCCATGTCCCCTGTGCTGGGGACTGTGTCACTGCCATGTCCCCTGTGCTGGGGGCTGTGTCCCTGCCATGTCCCCTGTGCTGGGGACTGTGTCCCTGCCATGTTCCCTCATGCTGGGGGCTGTGTCCCTGCCATGTTCCCTCATGCTGGGGGCTGTGTCCCTGCCATGTCCCCTGTGCTGGGGACTGTGTCCATGCCATGTCCCCTGTGCTGGGGGCTGTGTCCCTGCCATGTCCCCTCATGCTGGGGGCTGTGTCCCTGCCATGTCCCCTCACCCTGTGCCCCCTGCCCAGGCCAAGTACAAGGCGCGGGAGGCGGCGATGAAAGCGCAGTCAGAGAAGAAGCACGGCTCAGATAAGGAGGAGCGTGGGAAGCTGCCCGAGTCTCCCAAAACTGCCGAGGAGATCTGGCAACAGAGCGTCATCGGGGACTACCTGGCTCGTTTCAAGGTGAGGAGAGGGCTGGGAAAGGGGCTGGAGGTGGGATCATCACTCCCAGCAGCAGGAATTCCCAGGAATGTCTCTCTGGCTCTCACACCTGGGTTTGGGCTGGGAGCCATGGGGAGGATGGGGGTCCCAGGGGGAGCAGCACCCCAATGTCCCAGGGGTTTTTGGGTGCAGCTGATGCATCGTGGTGGTTCTGTCCCACAGAACGACCGGGGCAAAGCGCTGAAGGCCATGGAGGCCACTTGGAACAACATGGAGAAGAAGGAGAAGCTGATGTGGATCAAGAAGGCAGCGGAGGATCAGAAGCGATACGAGGTGGGTCTCTGCCCATCCTGCCTCTCACCGTGTCCCTTAGCTAGCACTGCCCCTCTCCCTGACCCTCTCTTTCTCTCTCCTGTGCCTCAGAGGGAGCTGAGCGAGATGAGGGCCCCTCCGTGCTCCACCAACTCCACCAAGAAAATGAAATTCCAGGGAGAGCCGAAGAAACCCCCAATGTGAGTCCTGGGTGTGAAAATCTGGGTTTGGCTGTGCCAGTGGGAAGGGTCTGGAGGAAGAGGAGGGAGAGGGAGGGTGGGTTGGACCCTGGTGTGGCTGGCTGTGGTTTATGGGCACCTGGGTATCTGTGCCCGCTGTCCCAGCCCGGTCCCTGCGCTCTCCCGTGCAGGAACGGTTACCAGAAGTTCTCCCAGGAGCTCCTGTCCAACGGGGAGCTGAACCACCTCCCGCTGAAGGAGCGCATGGTGGAGATCGGCAGCCGCTGGCAGCGCATCTCCCAGGGCCAGAAGGACCACTACAAAAAACTGGCAGAGGAGCAGCAGAAACAGTACAAGGTGCACCTCGACATCTGGCTCAAGGTGAGTGCTGGATCCTGATTCCTGGTGGGAGACTGGTGTCCCTTGGTTTTGGGGATGATGTTTGGCATGGTCTCCATTCCCACCCCTCCTCCAGCAACCAGCATCTCCAGACCATTTTTTGACATTTTGTAACTTTAGAGTATAAAAGTTATATACATGGGGAGGCTGTGCCCTGTGCTAAAGCCCTTCTGTTCCGTGCCCTCCCATCCCTGACTGTGTCCCTGTCCCCACAGAGCCTCTCGCCCCAGGAGCGGGCTGCGTACAAGGAGCACATTTCCAACGTGAGTATCCATGTGGCACTGCTGTGCTGGGATCCAGGAGTTTGGGAATGGGATGGAGTTATTGGGGGCTTGAGACTGGGCAGGATCAGTCTTGGGGGAGGTTGAGATGTGCCACACTCCAGAGAGCCCCTCCAGTGGGGATTTGTCCCCATGGCATCTCACAGTGAGATTTTCTCCAGGCTGGACACTGGGAAGGAGCTGAACTTGAGCCCTAAAAAGCTTTTTATTTGTTCCTACAGAAACGCAAGAGCATAGGGAAGATCCGGGGTCCCAACCCCAAGATGAAGCCAACGATGCAGTCCAAGTCGGTGAGTCACAACACCCTTCCCTCCCAGGGGAGCGTGTCAGGGGGCACCCACACCCCTTGTTTGAAGCATCTTTTGTGCTTCCAGCTGTCTGCCCTGTCCTTGAGACCATAAACTTTCCCCAAATCCCTGCTCAGAACCCATCCAGGTTGTGTTTTGACCCTGGTACCTGCTCAGGGACCCTTTTTCAGTATAAAGGGGGAAAGGCTCCCAGCAAGGTGCGGGGTAGGGAATCCTGATCTGCTCAATGGCCGGAGGAACCCAAAGGGGCATTGTCAGGGATGATGGGGTGGGAGCTGTACCCGTGGGTGTGGAGGTCTGGGAACTCACCAAGCCCCTCCTGACCTGCAGGAGTCAGAGGACGATGACGAGGAGGAAGAGGAGGAGGAGGATGACGATGAAGATGAGGATGAGGATGACGATGATGACAACGGCGACTCGTCAGAGGAAGGCGGCGACTCCTCGGGGTCCAGCAGCGAGGAGGAGAGCGAGGACGGGGACGAGGTGAGGCCGTGGCACGGGGAGGGCACAGGGCCCCCCTCACCCTCCCGTGGGCGGGGGGCTCAGATAGATCCATGGCAGAGGAGCCCCCCGGGCAGCAGGGGGACGTGGGGAGAGGAAGGGGAGCAGGATCCCCCCGGAGCTGCCGGGGAGGGCACGAGGAGGAGCAGCCGGGCGGCGCAGTCAGGAGCAGCCTCGGGCCCCAGAGGTGTGGGGGGGTGTGCAGAGCCCCCCGGTGAGCAGAGAACAATCTCCTGTCTTTTTCCTGCTGGAGATACTGAGTCTGGTCTCGGCTCCGTTTGCGCCAGTGTGAATGCCGAGTAAGTCACCGGAGTCAAAGCTTTACACCGGTGCAACTGAAATCAGCCTATGCTGGATGGCGCTGGGGGCAGAAACCGTGTCCGTGCCTTGTGCTCGCCACCGCACAGGTGAGGTGTTTCCACCCCCTCGCTGGTCTCAGCTCTCGCCTCTTCCTTCCCTGGCTTTAGAGGGGGGAAACTGAGGCCCGAGGCGGGTGGGGCAGCCTCCCTGGGATCGTGTAGCGAGGCAGTGGCAGAGGTGAGGGCAGGACCCCGCGCGCTGCTCCGGCACATCCCCCCCCCACCCGAGCTGAGCCCTCGCTGAACTCACTCCTGGCTCCTGCCCGTGTCCTTCCTCCTCCTCCTCCTCCTCTCCCAGACCCCCAGGGCAGCGATGGGAGGGTGGGGGTCACACGCCCCCGCTCTGTGAGGTGAGCAGGGGACAAAGGGGTGATGATGACTAACCCTGCCCTGACCTCCCCCTGCTCTCTGCCACCCCCCTCCCAGAACGACGACGATGATGAGGATGAGGATGATGAGGACGAGGACGACAACGACTCAGAGGGCAGCAGCAGTTCCTCCTCCTCCTCGGGGGACTCCTCCGACTCCGACTCCAACTGATCGGCCAAGCTCTTTGTAACGTCGTTTGGTTTCTCGGTTTCGGTCCCAAATCCCCCCTGCAGCCCCTCAAAATCCTTCCTCCTCTTCCTCCTGCCCCCCAGCGCGGGGAGCGGGGGCCGGGGGGACCCCTCCGCCGAGCTCACACTACGGAGGGGGATCAGGGGCTGCTCCCCCCAGGCTGGGGGGCCAGGAGAGAGCCCCCCACCCCTGCCCCCCGCTTTACTCCCGAGGGGAAGCGATTTTTTTTTTGGAATTTCATTCTTTCCAGGGGGGCGTCTCTCCATCCCTACCCCCATCACCCCCTCGCTACCAGCTCTGGACTTTCTAGAAAGAGAAGAAAAACACACAGGAAAAAAAGACAAACAAACAAACAAAAAACAAAACAAACCGACAACACCCCCCCACACCTTTTTTTTTTAATTAAAAAAAACCCAGAAATGGGAAGAAAAATCCCCTGGCGGCGCAGCCCCTGCGGCAGCGGGCGCGGAGCACGAGCCGAGGGGCTCAGGACTCAGCCGATGGGACAATGCCTCCTCGCAGCCCCCCCTGCATCCTGGGGGGCTCCTCCCCACCCCCCAAAAAACCTTGTACAGTCTGGAAGCTGCCCAGGGAGCTGCCCGGGACCTCCACATCCAATCCACGGCACTTGGGAGCGCCGGCCAGGGACGGGGACAGGGACAGGACAGGGACGGTGACCCGCGTGTCCCCGAGGGGTGGGGGGGTGTGGGTGAGTGTGTGAACGTGTGAGTGTGTGGGGGGGCACCGAGCGTGTGCAGGGGGGGCACCGGGGCCGCCCCCACCCGGGGCCGGCGGCTCAGCGTGACCAAGGGGGGGCGCGGGGTCCCCCCCGCTCTGTTGTCGGTGGTTGTTGTGCCGTTGTATTTTATTTTTTTTGTTGTTGTTGTTGTTTTTGGTTTTTTTTTTTTTTCCTTTTTATAAAACGAGAAAGATCCATCTTTTATTTTTCATTTCCCCCTTTTTCCCCTTTTTTCCTCCTGCCCCACCTCCCCATTTTCCTCCCTGTCTCTGGTGAAGCTGCTCCTCTCCCTTCCTTCCAAATCCTGGGGGGGGGAAACCAGAGCTCCCCTTGCCCCATTAACCCCATTAACACCAGTTCATGTCCCCCCTGGGCCATGCTGTAAATTTTGGGTTTGTTTTGGGGGGTCAATGCCCCCTCCTGGGTAGGGGATGGGGCCGCGGGGACCGGGGTGGGTGCATGGGGGGCCTGGCAGGGCCCCCCCTTTTTTTAAGCAGACACGAGCACCAGCAATCCCACGGCACCTCCCTGCAGGGTTCTGTCCCCACCCCGTGCCACCCCCCAAAAACCCACCCGGTGTCATTGGGGACCCCCCCCAGACCCCCACTCTAATTGGGGGGGGCTCAGGATTTGTTCCTTCTCCCCCCCCGTCCTGTCCCTGGAGAGGAGCTGGGGGACAGGATTTGGGGAGCCCCAGAGAAGGGGATGGGGGTTTCTCTCTAGGGCTGTAATTTAGCCATTTTTCTCTTCTCCCAAAGCTGTGGGGGCAGCAGCGGGGGGCCATGCTGCAGATTTTGGGTTTTGAGGGGTCCCTGCCCCCCCAGCTCTGTAACGCCCCCCAGCTTTGCTGCTCTCAGCACCCCAAATCCAGCCCCCCACAAAGACATTGGGGACCCCCTCAGTGCTGAGGGGAAGGTGGGGGCAGCACCCCCTGGCCTTGCTCCCTTTGGGCTGACAAAACACCATTTTGGGCAAAGTGCCCCCGAACGTGGGGCAAGGGGGTGAAGCCGGGTGCCCCCGCACGGACAATCCCCCCGAGTCCCCCCAGGACCGGGGCCCCCGAGAGAACCCAAATGCTGCCCCCCCCCCCCCCCCCAGTGTCCATCTGTCCGTCCCTCTGCTTCCCCTTCCCACTCACCCAATCCATTTGGGATTTTCCTTTCATTTTCATCCCAATTTTTAATCGCCGCCCCTCCCAAAATCCCCTAAGGGGAACCCCCCCCAATCCCTTTTTTTCTGCTGAATGTACCCAGCACTGTCGTGTTTTAGTGGATGTGTTTTTAGTACAAAAAAAAAGACAAAAAAAAAATTAAACCCCACCTTTTTTTCCCCCCCCACACCTTTTTTTCTGTTTAAAAAAAAAAAAAAGGTAAAAAAAATGAAATAATAAAAAAGAAAAATTCTTACAGCGCCGACAATTTGGGAGGGGGGGGGGGGAAGACGTTTGCGCTGCAAGAGAATTCCTGAGTGCATTTTGGCACTGCCACAAAATCCCGGGATCCTTTAGATGGAAGTTCTTGTGAATTACGTTAAAAAAAAAAGGCAAAAAAACACCAAAAAAAAAAAAAGATAAAAAAAAATCATCTTTTTTTTCTAATATTTAAAGAGTGTTTTTGTAGGTTTAAAAAAAAGACAAAAAAAAAAAAAGGAAAAAAAAAAAGAAAAATAATAATAATCCCGACTCGGAATTTGTACGGCTGAGCGGGACGCAGGGGTCGCGTCCCCGGTTTCCCGGTTTGCTTGGGGTTTTGGTTCTTTTTGTTTTGTTTTGTTTTGTTTATTTTTTGAGTTTTTTGGGGTTTTTTGTTTTTCCTTTTTTTTTTCTCTTTTTTTTTTTTTTTTTTGTATAATAAAGTGAAAAATAATGTTTCTGTTCTCATGTCATTACTATAAAAAAATAAAACTTTAGGAAAAAAAAAAACCGGACAAGCGTGAGGAGTGTTTTTCCTCCTTCCTGTGGGATCTCCTTTGGGGGGGTCCATTGGGGGAGGGCTCAATTTTGGGGGTTCTGTGGCGCTGGGGGTTTGCAGGGTGGGATCTGGAGGCATCCGTGGAGCTGGAATGTCACTGGGAGTTCTCAGTGGGGGATGTAGGGGTGAGGGTCGGGGGGTTCGGGGGTTCTGGGGGGATTCGGGGGGTGCGGGAGGAACTTCAGGCCCCGCCCCTCCAAGCCCCGCCCACCACATCCCCGCCCATCCTGGCTCCGCCCCATCGCCCCGCCCCGCCCCTCCCCCGTGACTCTGACGAGGCCCCGCGCGGCGGCGGCGGCTCCGGCCCCTCCCATTGGCCGCGGCCCCTGACGGCGCCTCCCCATTGGCCGGCGGCGGCGGGGCGGGGCCGGGCCGTGCGCGCGCCGGGCGCGCCGCCCCGCCCCTCCCTCACCCCCTTCACCCCCCTGGGCCGCCGCCGCCGCCGCCGGGCGGAGGCACCGCCAGGCCCGGCCCGGCCGCTCCGTCCGCTCGGCACGGCCCCGCACCGGCCCCGACCATGGCGAGTCGCCGCCGGGCCCCGCGCCGGGGCAGCGGGGGGCGCTGAGCCGGCCCCGCCCCGGCCCCGGCGGACCCTCCGCGCCGGTGAGTGACCGCCCGAGCCGCCCCTCCCGGCCCGGAGCTCCCGCCCTCGGGGCCCTGCCCGCCCGCCCGTGGGGCCCCGCCGCACCGGAGAGCGGCCTGCTGACCCCGCCCCGGGGCGCCCCGGGACCCCGCGATCCGCCCGGGATCAGCCTCGGGGCCGCCCCGCCGGTGCCCTCCCAGCCCCCGTCCCGGAGGCCCCGGGACCTTCCCGGGATCTTCAGCCTCCCCTTCCTCTTCCCCCTCCCTCGCTCTCTACCTGAAGGCCCCCAAGGCCCTCTCGGCCCCCCCAGGCCTGTGGGGAACCCCTGAGATCCCCTTCTCCTCCCTTGCCTGCCCCCCCCGATTCCTGAGAGTCCCCACAACCCTCACTGGGCCCCCCAGCCCTATGTGAGACCCCCGCGGCCCTCAGATCTCCCTTCCTCCCTCATTTTCCTGTTTTTCCATCCGCTCCCGAGAGCTCCGGGGCTCTCCCTTGTCTCCCCCAGACTCGCTAGAGACCCCCCCGAGCCGCCCCTATTCCCCCTTTCCTGTCTGTGCCCCCCACCCTCCTCTCCTGAGAGCTCCCAGCAGCACCCCTGGACCCCCAGGCCCTGAGACCCCTCATTCCCTACCCCCACCTTGATCCTGAGAGCCCCTGGGACCCTCCCTGGCCCCCCCAGCCCTATGGGAGATCCCCTGAACCCCCCATTCTCCCTCTCCCTTTTCTGCCTCAGCTTGGGGGGTGCACTGGGGGCTGAGCCAATTCCAGCCCCTGTTTCCTCTTTCTGTTGTGGAAGGAAGAAATCTCTGGATCAGCGGGATTGGGGTGTGTAGGGGGGTGTGGAGACCCCTCTTGAGTCCCCCCATCCCAGTGGCTGGGCAGAGTCCCCCCAGCTCCCCCAGTGACAATCAGGGGTTCCACTGCTCAGCCCTGATGGGTGCTGGGGGTGTCTGACCATGACTTTGGGGTCTTTAGACTCCCATTGTTTGGGAGAGAGGCCAGGCCCCATTTTGGGGGGGGCACACAGTGCTCCCCTCCCTGCCCTGTCCCCCCTCCATCTGCTGCAAGGGAGGGTGATGCAGCAAAACCCACTGGGAGGGGACAGTTTGGGGACACCCTGAGTCCCCTGTGCTCAACTACAGTCCTGAGACAATGTGGGGGTGAGGTGGGGTTCCTGAGGGGTTTGACACCTCTCTGAAGGCCAGGCATGTCCAAGGTGGCCTGAGGGGTGGGGGGACAGTGGGGGACATCCCACCCATGTCAGCCAGTGTCCCCCACTAACCTGGGGGGGGATCCATGCCAGGCTGGGGAGGGTCCTACCCAGCTGGGAGACCCCCAAGATCCCACCCACTTCACTCCTGGAGGGTTTAACCCCAGGACTGGGGGCATCCCAGGCTGTGCAGTGGGGTTCTGGCTGGGAAGGGATGGGGAGGGGTCTGCAGGTGAGGGTGGAGGTGCCAGTGAGACCCCCCCCCCGTGCCCCCAGCTCCCCCTGTCCCGTGCTATGAGCGTTCGGCGTGACTTCTCCACAAGCAGCTGCAAATGAAAATGGAGGATATGTCTTTGTCTGGCCTGGATAACAGCAAACTGGAGGTGAGCTGTCCTGTCTGGGGGGTCTGTCTGTCCCCTGGGGTGTCCGTGTGTCCCCCCTCCATCCCTAACCGCCCCCCCTGGGCCCCCAGGCCATCGCACACGAGATCTACACGGAGCTGGTGGAGGATGCCTGCCTGGGGCTGTGCTTCGAGGTGCACCGGGCAGTCAAGTGCGGCTACTTCTTCCTGGATGACACGGACCCCGACAGCATGAAGGACTTTGGTGAGCCCCCCGAGTTCCCCAGGGCTCAGGGTGACGCTGGTGACAGGGACACAGCCAGGCCCGTGCCCTCTGAGGGGATTGGTGGTCCCCACACACAGGGATTTGGGTTTGAGGGCAGCTGATGGGGATTTCTCTGAGGGGATTGGTGCTCCCCACACACAGGGATTTAGGTTTGAGGGCAGCTGATGGCCATTAAACACACAAATGTCCCACCAGCAATGACCAGAGAGGTAAATGGGGGGGCACTGACCCCCAAAATGTGGTGCTGGGGCCCTGGGGGGCACAGCTGGGCTGTGGGTGGGAGGTAGAGACCCCCTGCTTTCAGCCCTGCTGAGGCTGTGGGGAGGGTCTGGCATCCCCAGGGCCCCCCCAGAGCAGATGTGGGGTGTCAGGGCAGGGCCTGAGCGTGTCCCCCCGCAGAGATCGTGGACCAGCCGGGCGTGGACATCTTCGGGCAGGTGTACAACCAGTGGAAGAACAAGGAGTGCGTGTGCCCCAACTGCAGCCGCAGCATCGCCGCCTCGCGCTTCGCCCCGCACCTGGAGAAGTGCCTGGGCATGGGCCGCAACAGCAGCCGCATCGCCAACCGCAGGTGGGGCTGCAGCTCCGGGGAAACTGAGGCACCGGGGCCTGCCTGGGGGGGTCTCACCCCGGGGGTGCTGTGGGTTCCAGCTCTGGGGAGCCTGGGATGGGAATTCGGCCAAGTCTGGGTCGCCCCGGTCCTCGCTTTTCATGCTGGGGGTGTCCAGCTTGGTTCACCATGGAGCTCCTCTTGTTCTTCCCTGCCCCTGGAGCTCCTCTTGTTCCTCCCTGCCATTTTATCCCTCCTGGGAAAATGAGCTGGGAACCCCGGGTCCTGTGTCCCCCCTGAGTCATGTTTGTCCCCCTGAGGTGCTCTGTCCCCCCTGGCTCCTGTGTTTCCTCCTGGGTGCTCTGTCCCTCCTGGCTCCTGTGTCCCTCCTGGATGTTCTGTATTCCCTGCCTTGGTGGCTTCCAGGGACTCCTGTCTGGATCCCTGGCTGCAGGGGAGGATGGGAGGGTACCAGGGGACATGGGATGCATGCTGGGGTTCCGTGGAGGACGTGGGGCAGACCCCAGCCATGATCTCCTTCCCCTCCCCGCTCAGGATCGCGAGCAGCAACAACCTGAACAAGTCAGAGAGTGACCAGGAGGACAACGATGACATCAATGACAATGACTGGTCCTATGGCTCTGAGAAGAAAGGTAGGGAGGGGTCCTTGGTGTCCTGAGGGGTGGGGGACACATTCTGCCTGCCCCAAGGCCCCTGAATCCCGGTCCTGGGTGGGTGTGTAGGGGGAGAGCAGCCGTGGGTGGTGGGAGGCAGCAGTGGCTCTGGGCTTGGGGCTGCAGGCCCTGGAAAAGGTCAAACTTTTCCTTTCTGTCTCTCCCCACAGCAAAGAAGAGGAAGTCGGATAAGGTGAGGGGTGCAGGGAAGGGTGGGGGGCGCGGGGAGGACACAGGACACCCCCAACACCCCCCTCTCGTTGCAGAACCCCAACTCACCCCGCAGGTCCAAGTCCCTGAAACACAAAAATGGTGAGGGGGCGGGGCTTACAATGGGGGCGGGGACTCACACCTTTGGGGTGGGGCTAAAATGGGGCGGGGCTCACACCTTTGGGGTGGGGCCAAAATGGGGAGGGGCTCACACCTTTGGGGTGGGGCTAAAAATGGGGAGGGGCTCACACCTTTGGGGTGGGGCTAAAAATGGGGAGGGGCTCACACCTTTGGGGCGGGGCTTGCAGGGGCTGGGCACATGTAGGGGTGGGGTATTTGGGGTGGGTGGGGCAGCTGCAGTGGGTGGGGGGGGTGGACCTCTCCTTGGCTGTGGGAGGGGACCCTGGGGGTCCCAGGCTGGGGGCAGGACCCCCCCCTCACCTTTCCTCCCTCCCAGGTGAGATTGGCGGGAACCCCGACCCCTTCAAGGTGAGCCTGGGATGGGGGAGATGGCTGCCAGTCCCTGCTGTGCCTCCCCAGGGGCTGAATTGCCCCCCAGGAGGGTCCCCCCAGGCCTGAGCCTGCTCTCTGCCCCCCCAGTACAGCAACTCAGCTGGCATCAACTACGAGACGCTGGGCCCCGAGGAGCTGCGGACGCTGCTCACCACGGTGAGGGGATGGGACAGGGACAGGGACAGGGGGGCTCCACAGGGGATGGCACCCCGGGGATCTCTCCCAGCCAGGCTCCATCCCACTGGGGCTGGTTTCCAGGCTGGGAATGGGGACCTGCAGCAGGTCCTGATCGTGGGGTGGTGGCTGCTTTGTCTGGGCCTCAGCACTGGGAGGCTGTGGTGGTGCAGCACAGCCCTGGGGTCACTCACCTGTCCCCCCCAAACTCACCTGTCCCTTCCCTCCCCAGCAATGCGGGGTCATCTCCGAACACACCAAGAAGATGTGCACCAGGTGAGGGCGGCCCTGCTCACTCTGGGGGGCTTCCCCAGGGTCCCCAATATTCCCACAACCCACGGGAGGGGGGAAGGCCCAGCTCAGCGCCGTGTCTCACCCCCAGGTCCCTGCGGTGTCCCCAGCACACGGATGAGCAGCGCAGGGCAGTCCGGGTTTACCTCCTTGGGCCCTCTGCGTAAGTGGCTGCACATCGGGGTCCCCAGGGTCTGGGGTCACTGTGCAACAGGGACTGGGGGGCTGCACGGGGTGCTCAGGTGGCTCTGGGGACAGGGACAGCCCTGGGGAGGCCTGCAGGGGGTGGGAGCCCAGGGCTGGGCTTGGGATTTGCAGCCCAGCAGGGTGGTGAGGGCTGGGCTGAGCCTCTGGGGAATGCCATCCCCCTGGCATTGGGGGGCTCTGTCCCCTCCTGCCCTGTGTCACACCTGTGCCCAGGTCCCTGTCCCTGGGGAATGCCATCCCCCTGGCATTGGGGGGGCTCTGTCCCCTCCTGCCCTGTGTCACACCTGTGCCCAGGTCCCTGCCCCTGGGGAATGCCATCCCCCTGGCATTGGGGGGGCTCTGTCCCCTCCTGCCCTGTGTCACACCTGTGCCCAGGTCCCTGCCCGAGGCCGAGGGCGGCGTGGAGAACGACAGCTTCGAGGTGGCCGAGAGCCAGGCCCTGATGAGCCGCCTGCAGTGGGACGGCTCCTCCGACATCTCCCCCTCCGACTCGGCCTCCTCCAAAGCCAGTGAGTGTTCAGGGGCTGGGGGGCAAATCCTGGGGCTCAGACCCCTCTGAGGGGGCAAACCCGGCTGTTCTGGCACGTCCCCAGTACAAGAGAGGTTGAACAGATCATGGCTCCAAAGCCTGGAGCACCTTGTCCTCCACTTGGGAGGGGCAGGAACATTTTGGGGTACATTTTCTTGGGTATTGACCAGAGTTGGGCATCACCCACTCCGTTTTAGGGCTCATCTCCTCCCTGACACCCCCCTTTGTTCCCTTCCTCCCCTCCCCAGGTACAAACAACTCCGAGTCCCGCAAGACCAAGAAGAAGAAGCCGCACCTGGGGCTGGTGAGCGGCGCCCCAGGGCTCGGCTCCAGCAAGAAGAAGAAGCCCAAGCCCCCCGCCCCCCACACCCCCAGCATCTACGACGACATCAACAACTGAGCCCCGCCGAGCTGGGGAGGGGCAGGACGGACAGAGGGACGGACAGGGGCCAGGACAGCCCCCAGGCACCCCCCGGGCCGGACACAACGTGGGTACCGGGGCACAGAGGACTCAGCTGTCGCTGGAGTGGGGCTGGATTTGGGGAGCCCCCGTTAGTGCCCCCCTTCCTCCCCCCTGCCCCGGTGCCTCTATTTATTCTGTGACAGTTTTTGTACCTGGGGCTCCTGTTGGGGGTCGCCCTCAGACATGGGGGTACAGCCCCCCTTTCCCTCCCTCCCAGCACCCCCAAAGCCAGCTGTGCCCCCCACACCCGCTCCTCACTCACCCCACTGGGGTGGGGGGCACCTGGACACTCTGGGCCTGGGTCAGGGGGTGGTGAATCCCCCTGCCCTGGGCTGGCACTCGCCGGTCGGGCTGGCTCAGGAGGGGGGGTCACACTCAGAGGACAAGGGAGCACCCCGTCACCCCCAGATCTGTTCAGCTGTGCCTGCATTTGGCTGTTGGGGGTCCCGAGGGCCTGGCAGTGCCCACACAGGGGGTTACAGGGGGCTGCATGCTGCATCCTTCACGTTTGGGGCTGTTCAGGGGTGGGTCTGGGGGTGGGGGGAGCTGCTGTGACCATCCCTGTGCCAAACTGTTTGGGGAGGGGGCACCCCAACCTGCCAGAGTGGAGCTGGGAATGGAGCAGAACTGGGGGGCAAGCCCAGCCCAGCCTCAGTGCAGAGCCCCCCACTCCTGGTGTCCCCAGGGCAGCTCTGCGTGCCCTCCACGCCTGCCTGGGGACCTGCTGCTGCACTCGGGGGGTCGGTGGGGACCCCCACAGCTCTGGCAGGTGTTTGCACCCCCCACAGGCTCTGCTGTTGTTTGGGGGGCCGGGACCAGCGCCCCGCTGTGCGGGCCGGGGGGGGACAGGTCCCTCTGGCTGGATCCAGCTCACCCCTGCCCTGGGATCCCCTCCTTCCCTGCAGCTTTGTCCATCCCAGGGGCTGTGCTGGGGACAGGCTTGGCTCCATCCCCTCTGCTGTCCCCCCATGGCTGTCTGACCCCCGTCCTCTCGCTGGGATCACACATTATGGTGCTCTGACTCTGGATTCACTATTTGTTTTCAAACTGCTGCTAAAGGCTGGGCTGGGGGGGGGGGTCCTGCAGAGCCCTGGGCACCTCAGAACGCTGCAGCCCCCCCTGCATGGGGACCCCCGTGTGCTCCCTCCTGCTGCAGCTTTGGGGCTGGGCCGGTCTGGCCACCGGGGCATGCCAAGCTGGCCTTTGTGTGCCCCGGGGCCTGAGCACGGGGCTGTGGGCGCCCAAAAACACGGGGAACCACCCCAAACTGCCTGGGGGGGGGGGCATGGCGAGCTGGGGCTGTGTGGGGGAGGCAGCCTGAGCCCCTTCCCCTGCAGGAGAGGCGCTGCAATTTGGGGTCCAAGGGGTGCAGTGGGGTTTGGGGGGCTCAGATTGTGCCCTGTGACCCCCCCCGGTCGGTGTCCTCACCCCCCCCCCCCCGGTGTTTCTGCGTGTCCCCCCCGCAGGGGAACTGAGCCCTTGTGAGGTCTGTGTGTCCCGTGAGTGGGTTGTGGCTGCCCCTGTAAATAAAACTGCATCTTGACTTGGTATCCCTGGCATTAATTACAGCTCCTTAATTAACAGGACCTTTACCCCTCCCATCCATCTCCCCCCACTCCGTTCACCACGGGTGGGGCCGGATTTGTTTTTATGCCCCCCAGAAGTGTGGGTGGGTAGGAGAGAGCAGCCCCAGGGCAGGAAGGCAAGCACTGACTGGGGTGACTTGACACCCTTTATTTGCATTAAAAAGTCCTTGGGAAGAAGCCACGGCCCGTTCCGGTGCTGTCCCACTCCCCGGAGCTGGGGTTGGGGTGGGAGCAGCGGGGTTTGAGGGGGGCACAGCCCCTTTTTGGGGGGTAAAGTCCGGCAGCAAGGCTGGCACGTACACGCTGAGCCGCCACCGCGCTGGCTCCGGCCACAGAGCAGGGACAGCGGCGACACCGCGGTGCCTCCCCAGCCCCTTCCCCCTCAGCCCGCCTGTCCGTACAGCCCGAAGGCCAGGAAGGTGACGAGCACGGTGACACCGATCAGCGACACGGTGGCCGGCGCCGTGAAGAGCTGCCGGTAGTTGATGCGGAAATACCAGCCCAGCGCCAGCACCACCATCACCGTGGGCACCATGAGCGTGCCCCCGCCCAGCGGCAGCGCCGGGGCCGCGGGGCCGGCGGGGCCGGGCTCGGGCAGCGCGGGGGCGGCCGCGCCGGTGCCCCGGCAGCGCTGGCAGTGGATGACACAGTTGTCGGTGATGCGCAGCGAGCGCAGCGTGCGCGCCTGGTCCTGCAGCAGCTGCCCGCGGTAGATGAGCTTCATCTGGCTCTCCTGGCCCGGGAAGTATTTGCTGCGGGACGAGGGAGGCTTGGAGGCGGCAGAGAGGGGCTCGGGGACCCCCACCCGGGATAGGAACCCCCCCACATGGACACAATCCGGGATGGGGACCCCCGCACTGTGTAACGGGGAGGGGACAGCCACGGCACTGCCACCGCGCCGCCGCCGCCTCTTTCAAACGCGCCGTTTCAAAGCCCACGGGGTATTTTCGGCACAACGGGAGGGATCAAAGCCCGCCCCGGCCCGCGGGAGGGAGGGGGCGGTTTGCACCGGGAGGGGGCTGCTCACCCGGGCCTCACCTCTTGAGAATCCCCACGGTGTCCTCGGGCCGCGCCACCGCCACCTCCTCGGTGTCGTTGAGGAACTTGAGGCGGATCTTGATGAGGCCGGGACAGGCGTTCCCCGCCCCGGTGGCACCGGGCTCGGTGTCCGGCAGCTGCTCCCGGCCGGGACCGGCACCGGGGCCGCTCCCGCTGTCCGCCCGCGCCGCCGCCCCCCGTTCCTCCTCCGCTTTCTCCTCCGCGCTCTCTGCGCTGCCGGGGGGCTCCGGGGCCTCGGCCGCCCCCGCGGTGCCCGCGTAGGGCGGGAGGGGCCCGAGGCGGATGACGGCCGCGTCCCCGGTGCCCAGGAGCTGCCCGCTGCCCTCGGCCACGTACGTGGACAGCCAGGCCAGCACCAGCGCCAGCGCCAGCACGGCCAGCCCGGCCACCAGCGTCACCTCGTCCCCCACGCCCGGGATGAGCGGGGCGGCCGGGGGCTCCATCTCCGCCACCCCCGAGCGGTTCCCGGTGTGACCGAGCTGTGCCCCGGCGCTGCCTCCGGGCTCAGAACAGACACCGGGGCTGCTGCTCCCGGTGCCCGGAGGCCGCAGGGACGGGAGCTCCTCGCTGCGGGTTTTCCTCCTCGCTCCCGAGACGCCGAAGCGGCAGCGCTGCGCTCACCTCACCGGGCCCGGTGGAGGCTCCCGGGGGTCCCGGAGGGTCCCGCAGCCCCTCGGTGCCCAGCGGGGCAGGGTCAGGCCATCCCCGACCTGCACGGAGCAGAGCGATGCGGTCAGCGGGGCCCGGGCGCGGCGGGGCGGGAGGAACCGGGGGTGTCCCTGCCCGTCCCCGGGGGTCCCGGTGTGTCCCTTCCGGTCCCCGTGTATCCCGAGGGTGCCGGTGTGTCCCTGCCATTCCCGGCCATCCCGGGGGTGCCGGTGTGTCCCTGTCGGTCCCGGGGTGTCCCCGCCATCCCCGGGGGGTCCCGGTACCCCCCCCCCCCCACTCACCGCCTCCCGCCGCCGCCGCCCGCGCCGGAAGCGCCACGTCACAGCGCGCCGCCGCTAGGGGGCGGGACGGGCCGGTGGGCGCGCGGGGTTACGTCACGGCCGCGCCCAGTGGGCGTGGTAAATAGGGGCGGAGCCAGTTTGACTCACCCCTACGTGGGCGGGGCTATAAAGTGGGCGGGACTATGACGGGAGGCGGGGTTTGTTGGGGCGGAGTCGCGGCGGGGCGGGGTCTCGGGAGCACCGTGAGAACCCACAGGGCCTGACGGGGACCGGACCCCCCCGGCCGCGCTGTCACCCCCACCACAGTCTCCGTGTCCTCCAGGGCCCGTCTGTCCCCTCCCTGCCACCTGTGACCCACTGGCTCTGTCCCTGCTCATTCTCTGTCCCCACAGTCCCCTGTCCCCACTCATCCCCTGTCCCTCTCGTCCACTCTCCCCCCATTCCCTGTCTCCCCTTATCCCCTGTCCCCACAGTCCCCTGTCCCCACAGCAGCCGCCATTGCCCACCCTGCTCCCACAGGGACAAAGACGCCTCAAGGGCCACCTCTGCCATGTCCTTTATTGACACCAGTGCACGGGGAGCAAGGGGACATGGAGGGGACTCCAGTGGGGACACACAGAGCGCCCTCAGGAAATGAGCCCCTCGATGGGCAGCTGGAGGTAGCGGCGCAGGGGGGGTGGCAGTGCCAGCCTGGGCACGGCGGCGCGGCAGCGGGCGCCCAGGTGACGCCGGATGGCCACACGTGCCAGGTGCTGCAGCCGCCGCGGCCGACCCGCCATGCGCACGGCCGAGGCATAGAACTCCTGGTGCTCCTGTGGGGGGACAGGGGCTCAGTGGGGTGGCTGGGGACACGGGGACACCCCAGGACACCCCATTACCTCCCAGAGCTCGGGGGGCACGGCCTCCACCCAGCCGTCGGCGGGGGGCACGCGGTCGTAGGCGTTGAGCATCACCTCCAGCGCCGGCGGGTGCTGGCAGCACAGCCTGAGCATCTGCCAGCAGAGCCGTGTCACCGGGCGGGGTGCCACCACCAGTGCCACCTCCCCGTGCCCCCGTCACCCCCTGCCCCACCTTGGGGTGCGCGGGGAGGGCTCCGTGGTCCAGCAGCAGGGTGAGGGTCTCCTCGGGGCGCTGCTGGCGGTACTCGCGCACGGCGCGCAGGGCGCAGTCCATGGGGGTGTCCCCGGCGCCGTTGGGGACGGTGGCGTCGGCGCCGTGGCGCAGCAGCAGCCGGGCCATGGCGGGGTGCCCGTTGGCACAGGCGTTGTGCAGCGGCGTGTGGCCCTTGCGCCCCGCGGCCCCGGGCTCGGCGCCGGCCTCCAGCAGCCGCTCGGCCACGCGCAGGAAGCGCTCCGAGTCCTCGGGGCGCTCGGCCGCCGCCGCCGCCGCGTTCAGGGGGGTCTCGCCCTGGTGGGTGCGCACGGAGGGGTCGGCGCCGTGGTGCAGGTACAGCTCCACGTGGGCCACCAGCCCCTGGCGCGCCGCCACGTGCAGCGCTGTCACCTGGCGGTCACGGGTGCCCAGGTTCACCTGCGCCCCGTGCGCCAGCAGCAGCTCCGCACACCTGGAGATAGGGTGGGAAGGGTGAGGGGACACTTTGGCAACCATGGGACACAACCAGGACGTGCCCATGGTTCCCGTGGGACAT